CAGTCCTATATTCTCAGTAAATTTCACAAAATGGAGAGATTCTAGTTAATTTAAACTATCATATGTCGATTAAGACAAGTCAAGCGATCCTGAAATGCTTTATAGATCTCAAGTCTAGTGTCTGGTTTACGCTGGGCTCAGAAGACGAAACCGTGTTTTGTGACACTTAGGACTTTTTTCATCTCGACTGTTCTCTCGACTGCCGGTCAAGGTTTTCAAAACACTAAATGACCGGCAGTCCCATATTCTCAGTAAATTTCAAAAATTTAAAAAGTTCAGCAGTTCTGAACTATCATAAGTCGTGATCCTGATCAAACCAGCCGGTTTTGTGGGATTTCTACATTGTATTATCATGTTGTCTTTGGATGTTCGTTACTACAGCCAACTCCCTGTAACTCGAACCCCGTCCATAACTCGAACCTCCCGTTTAATAACTTGAAGTAATTTTCATTTCCCTTCAGATCATTTTGCATATAATTTTATTCTCGATAACTCGAACTTTTTCCTATTTCCCTTGAAGGTTCAAATTATCTGGAGTCGACTGTACTTTCTGTCCAAAGCATGGCATGACTGGCGACGTTTGACATCATAACGTCTTGACCTTTCATAAAGTACGGCCTCCGCGGAAAACCGGCGGCAAATGTCTCTGCTTCTGGAAAACACTAGACTTGAGGTCTATAAAGCATTTCAGGATCGCTTGACTTGTCTTAATCGACATATGATAGTTTAGATTAGCTAGAATCTTTCGATTTTGTGAAATTTACTGAGAATATGGGACTGCCAGCCATTTAGTGTTTTGAAAACCTTGACTGGCAGTCGAGATGAAAAAAGTTCTAAGTGTCACAAAACATGGTTTCGTCATCTGAGCCCAGTGTAAACCAAACACTAGACTTGAGACCTATAAAGCATTTCAGGATCGCTTGACTTGTCTTAACCCATTCGCCCCTGAACCGCCCGTAACCGCCCGTGCTGATCCACGTCCTTTCTACCCTTTGTGACGTCATCAGTTTTAATGGTCAAGGACAACTTCGTCCGTTAACTTGTGCAGAGTGAAGAGATCTTTCAAACCATACCAGAATGAGCACAATTCAGTCAAGGACACCGGAGAAAGAGGCAAAAAACCATGTAACATTGACCTGAAAATCTCCATGAAAATCTTGTTCCATTGCCCACCTACCTTTCCTTTCTCCTAATCCTAAGATCCTAAAAGCTTTCCTAAAAACTCTTCCCACCAAAATGAAGCCTACTAAATGCCCAGCAAGAGAAAAAAAATGAGGCAAGAAAAGCGAAAAAGAGGGGAGGAGAGAAAGCGAAGAGTAAAAGTCAAGACTACTGTGTCACTTTTCAACCCAAAAACTATCTTGAAATTTTGCTTTCTGCACATGCCCGAACTTCGCAAGCTGATATTTTGCATCTGGATCAGAGGGCGGTGAAGTGTACTACCTGTAAACCGGTTTGTGGTAAGTTTTAGCTCTTTATAGCACGACAGTGACCAGAAAACCACTCGACTAGCCTCAAAACGCGTTTTTCGGCAAAATCTCCAGGAGCGAATGGGTTAATTGACATAATTATGATAGTTTAGATTAGCTAGAATCTTTCGATTTTGTGAAATTTACTGAGAATATAGGACTGCCGGCCATTTAGTGTTTTTAACACCTTGACCGGTTACCAGCCATATAGCCACAGTTTACAAGGTTGCATTCATGATGTGAGCTGCCCTAGTGGAGGGGGGCATGGGGGTTTATGGTATTGCAGTATTGAGGTTTTTTTCAAGCGGTATTTTTGGTAATTTTCTCTGGTGCAGTATTGCGGTATCATCTAGCCCTGCGGTATATGGTTTTTCATCCTTTTGTTTAAAGGTATTCTGTAAAAGAAGATCCTTCATGGTATTGTGGTACCATTTATTTTCGCTCTCCACTGTGTATAATACAGGTCAATACAATGTGCAGCACGAACAACAGTAAACTAAAGAGGTTAATAAAAGTTACTATTATTTTTAAGACTTGAGACTTACTGGTAATTGATTACACAATCTATCGGGCTTTTTGATTGTTGTACCGATCAAGCCTACGTTTTGTTGTAATGTCTGAGGTTGATTTCTGGTGCATACATGCTTGAGGTAAACAAACACGCGAGATGGATACAGCTTTAAGTAAACGTGACCGATCATAGATGCGGTATCAGTAATTCGTCGATTTTTGACCGGTATTTCAGTATTTGCTAATTTTTATTGTGGTATTGGGTACTCCCTAATGTCCCCCTCCTAGTGCAGCACAAAACTTTACTCACAATAATAATTAATGTAGCCCTAAAGTAATGTAGATTTGCCCTTCAAATCTCAAAAGCATTTTCCTTAATTGAGGTCATGATCAAAGCAGAATACTTACCATTCAAAATAAAACGAAGAGGCCAACATATCTCTGATTCGGCCAGGGAGTAGTGGGATACCAACATAAAGTTGAGCTTACCTAAATTAGAATTGTAAAATCTTTGATACCAAATAGCTAAAATTAATTCGAAACAGAGCACTTAAAAATGTTTTGTCAAGTTGCTGATAGATGATAACACACCAGCTGCAGTGTATAAATTTGGTGCACTGAAGTAGGTCATGAGCTTTGTCCATTCCCTCTTTTGCTGGTCATGTAACTTTCTTCAGCTCACTTTCTTAGCGGTCAAGACAAACAATAAATGGTGCCTAGACAAGCTTAAATTTTAGCTCGCTAGTCCATAGGACAAGCAGGAAGTAAGTTCTTTGAGCTGTGAAATGACTGAGATTTTTTTTGACATTATGGCTTGAAAAGAAATATTCTTAATAAGGAGGTAGTTCATTATCACAGGGTGGTGTTAAAGGGGTGGTTATAATGTAAGGTGCCACTTTATTAGGGCTGTCAATAAAGGCTGGGAGCCAGAGATTCGCCTGGCTACTACAGTTTCAGCATGGCCCTTGGCTACAAACATTAATTATTGGAACCAAAGTGAAAACAGAACCAAAAGAACTCTAGCTTTAGGGACACACAACGAGAATGGGCAATTATACCATTTTTTAGATGTTCGAAAATCCTAGGAGAGGCAGGCAAGCAAGAAATTTTACAACAAATGTTCCAAAAATTCTAGATCTCAAATTGTCTTCCAAACAGATATTTTCCGGAAATTGACATTGGGTGTCCCTGTAGCTTTGTAGCTGTTTGGTTTCTCACCCACTCAGTTGAATATACCTGGAAACTTGGTGACATCCCTGTGTACTATAGAACAGTAGAACCCTTGATATACATGTAATGAAGGGCCAAGGGACTGGCAAAATTTGTTGGCAGTATAACAAGGTCTCGTTATATCAAGATTCTTTTCAATATAGTTTAATTACTAAATATTACTGGTGTAAAGAAGATTGTTTGTTATACTGAGGACTTCACGTCATACAGAGGTTCATGATTTAACAAGGTTCCACTGTACATTTGTTTGTGTAACACTTGTTGTAATTTCTGGCTCAAGTGTTACAAAATCCTTCTAATAACATGCCTACAGCCCCAGTGAATAAACATATTTTTTCCTTTACCAGATTCATGGTGGAGTATGTATTCATCCTGATTAAACACTGAAGAGAACCATGTCTGAGCTTGGTAAGAACAAATAAGCCAAAGCTGAGCCTCACATTTTTGATCATTTATTTTCTTGATTGAAGTTAATAAAGATTACACCTATAGAAGGTAATCAGTTACTGTTGATTGCTTAAAGGAAATTGATTTCTCCACATGTGGTGTGTGATTAACAAAATTTAAGGTATTAGATCTGCTATAAACCTGCAATGCATTTGAAAAATATTTTTCTAAGATGATAAAGAATTTTGCAAAATAAAGATTACGCAGGTCTATCAAGCGAGAGCTGAGCTTTCAGAAAATAATTAACATCCAAGGTGTCAATTTTCACACCTAATAAGGTGTTATTTCCAACTTATATCTCAGGCTGAAAAAATCAAGAAAAATATTACATATTTCTGGCTTTCCCTTGATAGCTAGGATAAAAAAATTGTACTTGACTGCATTTACCTTTGAATTCCCAGCAGTTGAAGCCAATAATTTTTTCCTGAGATATAAAGACAATGTGAAATTTTTTTGTAATGCCCTGTAACTTCATGCCACTGGCAAAAATTCCAAAATATTCCCTTTTTGCTGGGAATTTAATACATTTTCCCTTCACATTATGTAAATAAACCTGACACGTTTCAGCACAGTTTTAAAATCCTCATCTTTTTACATCAATTTGTTTTCAGTGCGGTCCAACGCAGCTGCAAAATTGCCCTTATTGATCAGCTGTTTTCTTCATCACTATCTTGAATTCTTACGAGTAAACCCCTGTTCTTAATGTTTGTTGTGACACTGATCTGATTGTAGCACGGAATATGGCGAGGAAATGTGAACTCTATTTGTGTTGTGCTTTCAATATGGTATCATAACAATGTGTTAGCCTTAGCAACTTGCTAATTTGCATAATGCATGTAGGTCATTTAACTGTGGCCTTTAATCTGTCATCAACGTCACAAGGATCATTTATCCAAAGTGTCCCTAGAAGGCTTTTTTCAGCCATAGAAAAAGTTATAGAGAGATCAAAACAATTGTACTTAATTATTTAGGAAAGCAAGATGTAGCCAAATTTTGCTATAATTTGCCCTAGGTTACTTGAAACTCGACATAACACATTATTGTGTGTTGGGTTATTAAAATTGCAACATTTCTGAACAACAAAAAATATTGCATTGGATTTCAGCCCTGTGATTATTAATTTTTCAAGAATGGCACTCTTAGATACCAACTTTGGCCTTCGTTTCCTCGGCTTCTTATTCAACGAAAATCCTTCATTTTTGGAATGTGAGTTCATACAGGTTAAGAGTACATTTCAAATAAGCGATTTTATAAGCATGAACATTTTTTGACTTTATAGCAGTTCTAGTACCTTTACACACTGCATGTGGAGAAATCAATTTTTTTTTTTTTTGGTATTTGCTGTATGCTGGGGTAGAAGTTTGTTTCATTTAGTTTGATTGCTTTTCCAGCTCTCGGCAGAACTGGGTAATCCATACTTAAGGTCCAGTACTCTGACAAATTTACGCATGGCTTTGTAAAATTTCTCATTGTTTTGCTTCCCTCTTTATTGTTAAGCTTTTGTACAGTATTGTCATGTGAAGACAATGTAATACAATGCCATGCAAAAATTTGTTGGAGTATTGGACAACCCTCTGGTAACCTGCAACCCATAACATCATGTAAGAAGAGCACTGTGCTCCTCTATCAGCCCCACCCCCACCCTCTTTACTGTACCAATTTGGCTGCAAGTTAGTTAAATTTGCCTTTCCAAGTACTGATTGGTTCTTTTGTTATGTGATTGTGTGCGCACTGAGACTCCACTGAGACTTCACACTGACCAGTTAGAAATACCAATATTAGATTATTTTCAAATAATATAAAATTTCATGGACAGCCATTTTCATGCCGGCAGTTGTCCCTTTTGCAAACGGTGGCTGCCAATTTAAGGATAGTTAGAAAATTTTTTAACCTGTTATTGAGAGTGTTGCTATTAAAAAAGAAAATTACAACCTAGGGTCAAACCTAAGCAGGCTAGGCACAGTCTCAAAATTCTGAAAAATTTAAATAAAAAAACTAGCAAACTGTCTTTCTTAACTGATGCATCAATAACAGGTAACCTAGCCTTTTTCATAACTTTTAATGTAAATAGGCCACTTGCACTAAGAGGTCACGTGACCAATGCTTCCTTTAAACAATGAGTTGGAATCTTGCTGATGCCAAAAATTGAGAGAGCACATAAAAATTATCATACCCCCTAAATTTGAGAGGAAACGCATTGAAGGGAGATATTTTATGGCACTTTGATTTTTCAACAAAGTACCGGTAGTATGATTTGTATTGGCGGCCATGTTGGAAGGCATACTCTTGCCCTCCATGACCTCCACCATGGTGGCCAAAACTACTTTTTGCTTATATCTTGTTAAACGTTTGATAGTTACGCTCAGATGTGCTGTAAACGTTACCACATCATCTTTTCAACATTTTCCGTGAAGTTTAAGCGCAAATTGGTGTTCAGAAGGAGGCAATTCATAATTTTAAAAATCACATTTTGGTCACGTGACCAGCTACGAACTCACTCTTTTTAAGAAAATGGTGCTGGTTTGAAAAACCAAATCACTGTTATTTTGTTTAAGATATGACCCAGTAATCGTTTTTCGAAGGCAAAATCATATAACTTTCATTTTCATAAAAACAATGCCACGTGGCCTCTTAGTGCAAATGGCCCATTCAACTTGGGCTTCAACGTCGTTCTTTTTAGCACTATTGACTAAAGGCTTGGTTACCAATGGTGGCATCGACCGTTAAAAATGGCAACGACCGTTTACGAAAGGGAACTTCTTTCGAGTTCGACCCTCGATTTCGATCGTTAAAGGTGGTGAGATTTTTAAAACGTTATCTTAATGGTTGTTCTTGTCTTTCGTTTAGGATCTATGGCTTGTGAAAGTGATGGTCCGGTGGATGCCGACGTTTCTCAGAGACTAAACCACACTTCAGGAGGTACTTGGGTTAATAAAAAAACAAAAAACAAAAAAGAGCAAAAACAAAGAAGAGGGGAATCCAGGGTGTGTTTACCTCCAACGAGCGTTATCGCAAGCATGGCATTGCTTTGGTTCTCAAGTGTAGTTCTTTTTCTTTCCCTCTACTGCACTCGCTTTCACATTCAAACTCTTAGTTCTACCTGCTTAGTTCAATAACCTCTGTTTTGAAATATTTATGGAATTTAATGTATTCATATATAATGTACTCACATTATGTAACTTGTATAAGAACATTTTTAAATGTGCTTATACAAGAACTTTATTGAATATTTAAACATTATTTGAACATTATTGAATACTTAACAATATTCAAAATAAATCATTGAGTCCTCGACGGTCGAACTAAGAACATTAGTCTCCTAAGACAGCCCGCTGTAGAAAGCAGTTAAGCTTACAAGAGAAGCTCAGAATGGTATTTAATGCAGGGGCGGATCCAGGATTTGAGAGTCTGAGAGTTCATGGCAAACTTCCCAGGGCCAAAGGAATGGGGAAGAAGGGAGTTGGAGGGTATTGTTTGAATACGTAGATTTTCGACATTTTTTATTTCAGTGGTATAAATTTGTCAAATTTAAGACACTATTATTAACGACTAAGACTACAGTGCAACAACGATGGTTGTTTGTCAAACCGACTAGCTTGAAAGAGCCTCCTTGGAGGAGCCTCTAGAAGGCTTGCTGGCAAATCTCGTCTTCCTCGAATCGTTCGGAGTAGTTTATGGCGATCTACTGCGAGATCAGAGAATCCATCTTCAGGCGTTGTTGACCTAGAGCAGGTCTTGATTCATTTCATCAGTGAAAACGACGGCTCAGCTTCTGCGCTTGTGATCGATAGGGTGCAGGCAATGACCAGAAGGCAACAGATGTTTGGAAAAGCATCATCACAAACACCAAGTGCTAATATAAGGCTCTTTGGAAGCCCCTTATCCGTTGACTGCCAGAGTGTTTTCCATCTACTTAGTACCTAATTTCCAAGGGATTTCTCCCAGAACAGCATTCCTTCTACTTCATCATCCAGCTGCTCTGCTTTATTTACTATAATCGATGGCACGACACAAAGATCTTGCATTTGGATGATTAAGGAGTCAAGAAGAAGAATAGCTACAGTCTTCTTGTAATGATCGATTTGACTGGACCTTACATTATAACTTTTAATATTATTTTTGGCGTGAAAAAGGGATAGACATGGGTAGCCAGACAAGTTTGAAAACTTCCCAAGGGGGGTGTTGCAACCCCCTCAACTCCCCCCTGGATCCACCTCTGTAATGCTAGACACAGTTTCAATTGTCTTGACTCCACTGGTCACTATGTACATGAATGCGTGCATGGAGGGATGTGGAAGAGCTCATCATCGTTTATTGCACAGGCCTGCCAACCTCAGCCGCGAATCCGGTAAAGTAACAGGAAGAGAAGTTCCCCCAAATAAATCCTTTACAACGCCTTTCTCTCCAACAACACCTAACACGGACGTGCTTGTAAAAACAGTGTTGGTAAGAATCAAGTGTCACTTAAGATCTGGAAGAGACAACGAGAGTCATGTTTGACGACGGCTCTGGGAAAACTGGGATTGGGAAAGGACGTGCGGATGAACTACGATTAGACGGAACCAATGAAACAGCGATGGTAACAACCTTCGGACAGATTTGTGGAAAAGCCTGCTACAAGCCACAAGGTTGAATTTTCTTTGGCTGACAAACAAGGAAATAATCGGGTTAAAGTCAAAGCCCTAGCTGTTGATGACGTTGGTGCACCTGTGAGCGCAGAAAGAGTTACCCCAAGTACTTAGCCCCATCGTGACAAGATCAAATTCGCAGATAGTTACCCGAGAGGAATGCAAATTGCAGATGTCTAAATCGGACAGGATTTTGAATTAGGATTTGTAACATCTGAACCAAAGATCCTTGTTCCTAAAGGTGCGCCCAGTGCGATTAAACAACTCTGTGTTGAATTTTGTGTGGTCCACTCAATGAAGGCCAACTACGCAAATAAAACCTGGGGGGAGACTATGGGAATGGAATGTACTAATGAAACTGCGGTCTCCCTCAGAGATTGAGCAATAATTGAACAGTTTGAAAGGAACATTGAGCAAGATGGAGATTGACATTACAAAGTCATGTCGCCCTGAAACAGTAAGAAGCATCTTCTTGGGAGCAATAATATGATGCTCAAGCCGAAGTGAGTTTAGAGCAAATCGAAAGAAAATTGAAACGAGATCCTGTACTATGAAAGGAATATCAGGAAGCAGAAGAATGTCCCCAAAGGACGGTCGTCCCATTTATTATGTGCCTCATGATGTCGTGATCAGACCAGAACGAGAAACAACCAAGAGTCGGATAGTGTTTGACGCATCAGCACAAATTGAAAACGACGTTTCACTTAGTGATTGCATAGAAACAGGCCCAGCATTACTGCTAGAACTTGTTAGCATCCTAATACGTTTCAGAGAGCATCGCGTTGCGATTATGGCTGTCATTCAGAAAATATACCTGCAAGTGAAACTCAAAAAGGAAGATCGTGATGTCTTCCGTTTCCTTTGGCGCGACATGGACTCTGGTGCTCCACCGCGAATCATGCGAATGGTGACTCTACTTTTTGGAGCAAATCCATGTCCCATTCTGGTAATAGCGAGCACAAGATATCACGCAAAGAGGAATTAAAAGGAAATTCCTCAAGGTGCACGGGTAGTCAAAGACGACTTCTGTCCATGAGCTGGGCAGACAGCTCAGCTGCTCTTTAGTGGATTCGAGACCCTTCTGGTCAGTACAAACATTACGTAGCCATGCGGGGCGACTAGATAAACAAATTAACAGAGCCTCAGTGTTTGAGGTACTGCCCCAGTGTTGACAACCCAGCAGATTTATCATCTAGAGGAATCACTGCAACTCAGCTTATATTTTGCAATCACTGGTGGAACGGTCCAAGTTGCCTTTCTCAGCCAGAAGGTCAATTTCCGTCAGACGTGAAGACTACAGAGAACGTATCAAAGGAAGAGAGAGGTTTTCGGTGATGAAAGGAAACGCTGTTGAAAACGCAAAATCCTTCTCTTCGGAAGTTGCTGCTAGTAACTGCAGATGTCTTGCGATTTCTGCAAAATGCTTCAGGTTCGCCCAGTGAGAGGAACACGGGATTGCTATCAGCGGAAAAATTGAACGAGGCTAAGGTCTATCTTAAGGGTTTTGAAGTCTTACCAAAGAATAAAAAGGTTCAACAATCTATCTCTATATCTTGACAGTGAGACGGGTTAAACCAGAGTTGGCGGAAGAATTCACAAATCAAGCCTTACTTAGGAAACAAAATATCCTGTCTTTTCTCCTCACCAGAACAGATTCGTAGACTTGCTAATCCAGGAGGCTCATGAGAAGCAGTTATATGCGGTAACCAATTCAGCCCTTACGCATACAAGGTGTCAAGCGAGTCCTATATTTCTATAAAATCCTAATTTTTCAGACCGCTCCTATAAAGTCCTATAAAGTGAACAAATTCCTATATTTTAAGCCTTGTCCATGAAAAATTCAAGAAATATTTAAAAATTTAAATAAATGTTTGATTGGTATGGAAAAAGATCCACAATTCAGAAAACTTTAATGTCTCAAAGATGTGTTTGCTAGACCTCAAAATGCAAAATGTTTTTTAAACTTCGGCCAAGTTCTCTTCTGTGCAGTGGATTATGGGTTGACTGTGGGGGTCCATCCTTTACGTACTCGTGCACTTTAAAGGCCAAGAATGCATCACTCCATTAAAGGGAAATAGCAGCCCTTAATGAAAAAGAGAAGGAGATAAGATAAAGCTGGAAGGAGTTGGCCAGCTCCTTATGGACGGTAACAAGAAACTGAAGAGTTCATTCAAACGCAGTGACAGAACTGGCATGAGCGCAGCAGAGGTAATGACAGAAACTGCTACAGGGCTATGACAGAGGCTTAAAACAGAGTCAATCTGAGCTGAGAAAGAGGCAGAAAGGTGTTGTGTGTCAGAAACGGACGCTAATTGAAAAAAGCTTAGGAGAAGTTCCACTTCCTACGAAAATGCCAAGAGTGAATGCCTCACTACCAAAGCAGGCAGCAAAAAAAGAAGAAATCCAACGTTCGGAACACTACTACAACAACGTAACAATAGTGGCGATGGAGTTAACCATGAGCTGGGCTGTAATTTGCGGATGCTTTAACTGATCTGAAATACTTTTGTTCACATTGGCTTTCATTTGACCTAGTTTCTGTATTCCAAGTGTTATTGTCGGTATTTCTATTTCTGTATGCACAGAAGTGTCAGTATTGAGTTTTGGGTTCGAACTTGTTGATATTGTCAACCATTATTGAATTGAAAAAAAAATTAAGATTGCTGTTGTTATTAATCTTGTATGCGGAAGAGTTCATTGTTACTGAGATGCAGTTATAATCCCAGAAGAACAACGTTATTTTTCCTTTTTTTTTCCTTTTTTTTCTTTCTGAACAAAATGATGGACTTACTATAAGTTTGAAAAAGGGTCGTCCTTTTGTTGGCCCTTTCATCTTGGCAACAGGTTAAATGAATAAGTATATCTAAAGAGTCTATATGAGATAAAGAACCCAGTGTTGGGCCGGTAAGTTCATCATCATCATCCTTCGACTGCGGAGCAGTCGACCATAAGTTTCCTCCATATGGCTGTCTTGAGCCATCTCCAACAGCTGATTGTCATTTAGCAGATTATCAGGGTCCCCCAGAAGACAATGAATATAAGTGGTGAACAAGGTTCGCTGTCTCCCGGGTTTCTTCTTCCCATGAGTAGGAACATACATTACAAAATCTCTGACAGGCTCATTTTCAGGCAAGCGAAGCACATGACCAAGGAATCTCAGTTGTCGAAGTCTGACGTCAATAAGGGGGGCTGATTCTGTGAGGCTGTAGATTGTAGCATTTGGCACCCTGTCGATTCGCCTGATGTTCAACATGATTCGGTTGCAGGACGTGCCAAAAGAATTGATTTTGTTCTCCATGTCCTTAGAGATGACCCATGACTCGGAGCCATATAGTAATACTGTAATACAAGTTGTCTTTAACGACTTCATCTTGGTGGAGATAGGTATGGATGGGCTTTTCCATAGACGGTCTAATTTCCGAAATGCTGTCCAGGCAAGAGCTTTCCTTCTCCTCTGGTCACTGGCGCTAGATGCCATCATGGAACCTAGGTATTTGAAGTCGGTCACATGATTTATGGGGGTTCCATACACTTGCAGTGTGGGCTGCGGATGACAGTGAATGGTCATAAACTCTGTTTTGGGTGCACTGATAACAAGACCAAGCTCTGCAGCGGCATCAGCAGTTCTGGTGAGCTGGAATTGGGCCCGCGACATTGAGGATACCAGGAGGGCGATGTCGTCAGCGAAGTCCAGGTCATTCAGCATTCTGGCTGGATATCTTCTCGACCGTCGAGGACAGGTTACCACTCCACAGTCAGGTCCAGATGCCTTACCCAAAAGGTAGTCAACAAAAATAATAAAAAGGAAGGGGCCAAAACATCACCCTGAAGAACTCCTGTTGTTGCATCAAAGGGTTCGGAGACGCTTCCATCCACCATTACAGCGCTGCTGGAATTGCTGTAAAGAACTTTTATGGCGTTGACTGTAACTGTTCTGTTGATGGAATCAAAGGCTTTCTTAAAATCCACAAAGGTAACAGTAAGTGGGAGTTGGTATTCTTGGAAACCTTCCATAATTCTTCTCAGTAAGTGGATTTGTTGTGCACAGCTTCGACCTGGTCTAAAGCCACCTTGATTTTTCCTCAGAATGGTCGAATTCTATCGGACCGGATCGGACCTTTGTCAATCAAGAACGAATACCAAGAAGCTGAGAAGGCTTATGCCTGTCTATTTACGTCTTGTGCAACAGGTGTAGTGCATCTCGAGCTCACACGCAGCATGACCACCAAACGTTTTTTATTGGCTTTGACAAGGATGATGTCGAAAAGAGGCATGATTGACGTGATTTCGTAGGACAATTTTAGATCGTTTTAAAACGCTGACAAAGCTCCGCCAATTCTGGGAAGTTATCTCAAGCGATATCACATAGGAAATGGTCAAGGGTAGTTGTATTTGAATTCGTCGGAAGTTCATTTGCCCTCGCGCACCCCCCACTGGGGAGGATTTATGAAAGATTGGTGAAGTCAGTGAATACACCCTGGAAAAAGATGCTTTGAAATGCGATGTTGACTGAAGAAGGAATAAGGACAGCACCTACAGTAGTTGAAATTTGTAAACCGGGCTTGCGCAGTGCACGGTATCTCACTTCCGGTCGTCGTCGTGAATCTTAAGTTCCCTATTATGTAACTTGTATAAGAACATTTAAATATTCAAAATAAATCATTCATTCCTCAACGGTCGAACTAAGAACAACCTCATTTACAAAGGCTGTTATCGCGTACGAATTCTCTGGAACAACAATTCTTTTCCTCTCTTTCAAGACATTAAAGCGTTCTATTTTGCACAAATTCTTAAAGCATTCCTTCTTTTTTTACATTGTTTTTGCTTTATCACACTATAATTAATTAATTTAGAATATTTTCATTTTTAAATCGTTTCGCCCTGATGAAGAGTGCAGATCAGGCGGTCGAAAGTTCGTGTTTAAACAAAACGATAGAGAACTTTTTTTGATGTTTTAATATTATTTGTTCTGGCTGCCGCCCCTCTTTTTAACCTTGTGAATGTTTTATGATTTCCTTGTAGTTCTAACTAACTCACTAAGATTTTTTCTCGCTACTGTAAAGCAGCTTGCTAAGCACCATTCGGTTATATCCTGTAGGTGATCATGGCTCTGATCAAGACACTCTCCCATTCGAGGTCAATTATTACACATCCGGAGAGACAAAATGTACCTTTCAGTTGAAGAACGTAGACGACGATGAGAACTATTCCCTCTTTCTTGACCTGCTATCGAACATCGTCGACGCCGTTAACAAACTGGACACCAAGAGGTTTTGTGAATTTCTCAATCCTTTACCCGATTTGAAAAAAGATCTGCGAGATTGGAACAAGAGGCGTAAGGAATGGCCGGTTGAAATTGATGACGATGCTTTGCTACAAAAGATACGTGATAGAATTAACAGCTCGGCCAAAGAAATTATTTGTCCTTACCCAGCACATGGAAAAATTACTTGCTTAGACGTAACAGTCCAAGACGATTTTGACCCCAAAGGAGAACTTCAAAAAGTAATAGAGACTAATGCCGCTGAGGTGTCTGATACCGAGTCTGAAGCTGGTGAGGAGACAAGTATCGGAGAAGAGAAAGATGACTGTGTGGTAGATGAAAACCCTCCAGACGAAGGAAAAGAAGTTGATGATGTGGCTCGTTCAAATCCCGAAAAACCATGCTATTTTCCAACACAGATTGAAATGGCAGCAATCCTTAAGCAGCGAATAGAGGCCATAATGGAGTATTATTACGGAATCGCGAACCTCAGTGACGCTTTTGATGATATTGACTTTACAGTCTACACGGCTCGGTACCGGATGCTTAGCGATCAGACCAAGCAAAGGATCTGTCACCCAGACGCTGGCGTCCTATCAGAAGAGGAATTGACGTCACACAAAGAGGGCAATGGAACGAAGAGAATGTTTATGTATGGTCACGGCGAGGATGCTGACAAGCACTTTGAACAGCTCAAGAAAGAGGTCATAGAAAAGCCGAAAACCCTCTTCATCATTATTGCAGACGAATGCCACTGGGGAATCACTAAAGACAAGGACCAAAAACCATCCGCACATAATCTGTTTATAAATAATTGGTGTGAAGAATCCCCCATAAATGTCGTTGTAGTTCAAATCTCCGCAACACCATTCAACCTACTAACTCAAGACTCTCGCCTTCCTGTAGTCCGTTGTCTTGTTCTTCATGACAAAGTCACTACCACTCGAAAAACGTACGAGGCAGGGGATCTCTTAGTCGAAGAAAGTGATCCTGAGATTGAAAAAAGTGTAAAAGAATCGACTCTGGAGGTAGAGCTTCACGTCGTCGATTGGTCGGAAGTCGAGGTAAAGAACTTTGAAAGGGGAATGCGGATGAAACTGAAGTCGACATTATCAGATAAAGGCTTACGCTCTTTATACAGTCACGTCTTGCCAGATGCAAAGCTGGATCAATCGCATGAAGAGAGTGATTCTCTTTCCGCATACCTTGAAGTGTCGTCGGACGGTAACCTGCTCATAACACGAGAAGAGGCCAAAGCTACGGTTTTTGAGATACAAGGCAGTCACGGTATCGTTACGATTAAAGCCGTTGTAAGCGAAGAGCAAGTGTTAACCTTAACTAAAGATGACAGTGGTTCATTGAAGGCTATGGATCACCCGTCGCAGCCAACAACGTTTAGATTAAGGCTCGATTATGGTGTAGGAGTCGTTGCCTTTGTCTGCTCTGATAGATTAGATCTGTATTTGACAGTTAATGACCTTGGCCACGTCCAACTGCAACCAGCAAAAGTGGAAAGAAAATCTGGAATTGCCATCAGGAAACCCAGAAATGATTTGGGTAAAGTGTCTTTCGAGTTCTATATGGTACATTGTGGGCCAAAAGAAGTGGGCATGGCTGGGCGGCAGTATGTGAGCTTGAACTACTACCTTAGTACAATGAACAGCAAAGACCAAAAGATACGCGAGGACAAGTACTTCCAAACCATTGTAAAGAAAGGGAGAGGACAGAAGAAACTTCCGAAAAACGACTCATCACCATTCACTGTTGACGCCATGCTCTGCGCAGAGTACTCCTACTACGTTCTTCACATGAGCACATACTACTGCGACGACAAAGTACGACAGGTACTCACCACAGATATGCCCGAATCGCCGTCTGCTCAGTTCTGTAAAACATTCGAATCCTTTGTCAGAAACCTCAAGGAAGACACAAGGTGCATTGATCCCGAAGTATTTGAGTGGGTTCAAAAAGAACTTCGCGAGAAGGTCAAGGACGATTTCAAGGACGACTTTGTAGCGCTACAAAATAGCAAATCATTTAATGATGATGGCATAGAATTCGAGAAACGCAGAGAGGAGCTGGTCAATTCTTTTGTCGCCTGTTTGATGCATCTCTCTCCTCCGGAGCTACAAGACTTACGAGTGAAGTACGCTGTTGTTAAAGATATTGAAGAAAAACTAAAAAGGACGACTGTGAGAAGCTGGTGAAAATTTGGAACAGCATTGTTAAAGAATCCGAAACAAATTGCTTAGTGAAAAGTCTGATCCAAAGTGGCAAACAGGGTTCAGGCAAGATGAAAATTTTACGAGCTAGAAGCAAGAAAACCGCCAATCAATTTTTCTATACGCTTAAAGAAGCTAGAGAACTAGCGTCTCTAGAAAACTGCTTTGAAATCATCAGAGATTATGGCAAGTTTAATTTAAAGGGATTCATGACATCATCAAACACTTTTTTCCAGAAGCTTCAGCCAGAGAAATGCCAGTTTCGATTTAAATGCCATTGTAGCAATCTTAAACTGAATACTAAGCTCCCGAAGTGTGGCAATTGCCAACACGTGCACAAGCCAATCACCCAGTACGAAGACTTACAGAATCTTGCGTGCGTCCTCATCCTTGTCGAGAAAGGGCGCATGGGTGACACATTTCCCGAAAGCTTTGATTGCCTGGACCTCCGCCTAAGCTACGATGAAGGTTCTTCGATAATTCTTTCCACTGTCATCCAAGAACTGGGAAGAATGTGCCGTTACGCAAAGCTATCTGCTGATGGATCCTTTGTTCAAAACATTCCGTATGCGTTGGTTGGACCACAGTTGTTTAAAAAACTTAAAGGGTCCTTGGAATTTTCCCCCGCAGTAAACGCCATTTCTTGTACCAGAGCCGATAGCTACATGAAGAACAGCAAAGGCAAACGCAAGAATTCCACTTCGTTTCGTTGGTTGGACTACGAAGCTGATAAGGACAGCTATGATTACCAAAACAAGGACAAAGAAAACAACAAGCACCTTAACAGAATCCTTCTTCAGGCTGAACCCCAAATCGGAAAAACTGGAACCTATCTGTGCCTAATAAAACAGCTAAGACAGGCCATTCTTGGAAAGGAAAACGTATCTTCAACCACGTCTGGTTCATTCGATGAGGGGAATTTTTATCTGGTCAAGGAAATCTTTGCTTCTGAAGGCCACCCTGTGATGGGTGAAAACAACGAAGCAGAAGACTGGAATTTTCCCTACTGGAAGACAATCCAGGAATCTCCGAGCCTTCTCCAAAAGCCTATAGCACCTGGAAAGTACTCAGTTGGAGGGCTTGTATACACTCATGACATGGGCAAAAACCCTTTTATTCTTATGAAACGTGAAGGATTATCACAGTTAGCGAAGTCCGTTTATCATCGCCAGGTTGACAAATGTCCAACTGGTGCATTGCGAGCTTGGCATTGGTACCACTTTGAAACTGCGCTGAGGTGTGGGAGGTTCCTCGAAGGCAAAGAACCAGTGATAGAAACTGTTATGGTGAACATGGATGGTATGCCGGTGACTGTAAAGTGTTCGGTACCAGCAAGCCGCCGTCCCTACAAGTCCCTGTTGGAAAAGCTTATAAATAGCACATCAGTAAGAGAGGGTTGGACCGAAGACAGCCTTGCTTCAGCAATAAGCAGTGTCCGTTCTCCGTTGTATTGGATCTTTCATCCCTCCCATAGAGATGATCCACGTAAATGCCTGTTGAATTACCACCACGCGCTGCAGAATGAAAACAAGGAGATAACCTATTTTCAAGTCGCTGTTGTTCGAAGCGAAAAGTTTCAAGATTACGTTTCCACCTGGGGTAAGATGCTCGTCATTTTCCAGTTGCCAGATCAACTACCTATGGAAGGTGAAGATAAAGATGTTGGACCAAGTGAAGGAGGGATTGGATACGCCAGGCGGTTTATCCAGAAAATGGCATCTGCCCTGAAGCTGGAGTACGTTTTTATGCTCGATGACAATGTAGCTGTAATGTCAGAAGCACTGCTCAGCTCTGGGGAACCGGCGACTTGTAACGATACAGTCATTAGAAATGACGACGGTGTCATTCGGATGGAACCCTGCTCTTTCTGGAGGCCACTAAATTATCTCCAGAAGATAGTGCGTGGAAAGGATAAACCACCCGATGTCAGAAAGCAGTATGAGGCACATCCGTTAACCGAAGAGTTTGATCGTGATTTCCCGCTGTACAGATACACAGGACCTGCCAAGCTGTTCGGAGACAAGCTTCATGAGAGTTATGGCGTTTTGGGTTTTCTCAGAAGTGTTCCAAACGCAGTGAGGCCATTCGCTAAGACCCAAGTGTACGCTGCAATTTTGCTGAACGTCAAAAGCACTGTTGAGAAGAGAGTGTTGTACCGGCCATGGCCTTGCTGGGAAGACTTACGTTTTAACGATGACTGTGACAAAAAAGGTTTGTGGGTGGTAAAATGCAACCGTTTCCGCTTTCACAAAGTGCAGTACAGTGACTGGATTAACAGCCTTGTCCTTCCAAGTATATTCCAATGGACAGCAGATACTAAAGCAGAGAAGCAACTTCCTGAAAGCATGCTGCCAATCGATTTCGAAGAGGGCATTATCCTTGAGCACCTTCGTAACCTAGTGAGCGTGAAGGGTAATGAAAAATGTTTCAAGGGGGAGATTGGATATAGTGACTCACAGGATAGCGACTCTGATGTTTCTCCAGTGCGATTGGTAGAACAGGTTAGAATAAGCAAGCTCGTGGCCATGCCGGTTCCGGTCCTTATTCTTGCTTACTCTGTTCTCGAACAAGAAATGGAAGACCTATCAAAGCTGGAGAAGCTATATTGTCTTGTCCAAGAGAAGATAGTTTTCATCGTCAGTGCCAAAGAAGCAGAAGAAGAATGGAGACAAAACATGACACTTGACTACCTAGATAGGGGAATTTCAAAAACCAAGCCTATGAGAAACAGAAAGGCTAACTTTGCCCTATTTTCAGCAGCGGACCCTAGTCGACACCGTTTGCGGTGGATGGTGATTGAGGCATCGTTCAAGGATGAATACAAGAGCATATCAGATGCTAATACAACTCAAGGAATCATAGATGGAGGAGTTAATGAGCTTGCGTCCTCAGACGAATCAAAATCCAGTTTTACTGAAAAGAGAGGTAGCAAGAGATCAGTGGAAGTGATCGTCGATGGAGCAAATGAAAACACATGGCAAACAAGCCCGTCGGGAAAGGAAGACGTGGAAGAGATGGTTGTTGATCCAAACGCAAGTGCTAATCAGCTGGAGTCTGAGCAACACACAGGAATTTTGTGTCCGCCCAGCACACCACGTAACAGTAAAAGGGTTACCCCCAGTAGTACACCTGTATCCAGTAAAAAGAGGAAGATCGAAGACTACTATCCAAACAGTACCTCTAAAAATACCGAGAGTCCTGAAATGAAAAAAACTGTCACAACGTCTCTGACTCACAGTGCCAAGGCAGAGGAAAAGGAGTGTTGTTCAGCAGTGCGTCTAGGTCAGTCGCCAACCAATGAAGATTCTAGAGGGGTGGAATCAGTGATTGAGCCATCTAAGCCACAAGAAGAAGTTTTATCAGCTACACGTACTCCTTCTCATTCTGTTAAAAGGAAGGCGCCCAAAGGAGCGCGTCAACAGGATGCGGAACTTGACGTCCCTTCTACAAGCAAACGAACCAAAAGTCAGGTTACAGGGCTCACTCCAGAAGACGAGGGATACATTCGAGGTACAAGCGAAGTTACACAATCGATAGTTGAGCTTTGGAGGGAAAAAATGAGGCAGAAAAAAGATTTGGATCGCGAAAGAGTTGCAGATAAACTGAAGAACTTCAAAACTGAAGTTTTAGAAAGACTTGATGATGAAGGCTTCTCAGCTTTAACTAAAGCTTGCTCACTTCCTTCCATGAGTCCACGAATTGTAAGCTATCTTCTTAACAAAAAAATGGTGGACGTCAATTCTCAGCTACCTGAGAGGTTCACAACGGGCGACAGGGAGGACGCAAAGTTAATCCCTCTAATGTCGGCCCTGTCTGTGGCTTTACTAAGAGGGAATGTGAGATGTGTTTCCACCTTCCTGAGGAGGAAAGGCGATATTAAATTCGATAGTAGAGATCAGAAAGGTAACACAGCTTTACATTATTGTCTGTCGACTCAAGACGCATTCAAAGACCTCTGGCCAAATTATGAGAAGATGAACTGGCGTGATATGAAAAATGACGAAGGAAAGAACCCCTGCGATGATGCTAAAGAGAAGTATGAGAAGTCCAGTCGTACGATAGTAACGAAGAGAAAGAAAGTTACCACAAACAAAACTCGAGAGGCTCTTGAATTCGCCATCAGCAGAATGGACCCAGAATGGTTGAAAAATAAGTATGTTCTTTTTTTTTCTTAAATTACAGGAGAAATGCTTAGCTAGATATACAGACTGAACCCCACCCGTATGACACAAATACAAAGATTACTAAGGCATCTACAGGTTAAACCGGTAAGGCCTGTTTCAAACGTCGCGTTAGTGCCTTGTCGAGCTCAATTGATTAAATTTAACCTAAGCGCGTTTTAAACGATGTAGTCTTACTATACCTTTGTACATCACGACAGCACAACTTTTCTTTTTCTGAAACGTTAAGCCGTACCAACTCAATTCATAAGTTATAAATACGTTGGTGCATGGAGGACATTTGATGTGTTGGCGAAACTTCTTTTTGTGTTCTGGGCAACATTGGTGTTTTATTCGACTGAATAAATTTCATAAATAGGTTGGTTATGATAGTCCGGGTGAACGTAGTCCTGAATGACTATTGTTGACAGTGACTGACGTATCGACAACCTGTGCGGTAGTCATCTTCAGAGTCAAAGTGAGTTGTATCACGTCAGTTGATGGTATTAAACTCTGGTTATTGATCTGATTGATCAATTAAGTCGCGATGTTATTGGTCGTCAGTCAGTTAAGCCGTAATGTTGAATTCGACGTCTAAAATCAAGTCGTGCGTCAGTCGAGCCAGCTTAAAACACAGCGGTAGCACGAAGTTTGAGAAGGCTTGAAATGGCGTCCGTCACAAAGCGCCTGTTATCTCCCTATGTTGGATTTATTATTTGATACGAACACAATTTGAGCCGAAATTTTTTTACAGTATCTGTATACCGTATTTATTTTAAGAGCGCCACATCATGTTTAATTCCGAGATGCGTTGGTGACTAAACGATTAAACTAGCTCTACTCTATTACTGCCTTCCTATGCTATTACTCTCGCATTTGAGAAGAGAGAGAAAACGAAATAATTATAACTGAGTAATTCTTTATGGGCAATTACAAATTATATAATAGCTAAGATAGTACGTGTGGTCTGATTGGCCGAGAAGTATGTTTGCATGATACTATGGAAAAATAGCCTATTCCAGGCTCCGAGGTAGTCGGGTCAGGAGGGACGAATGAGAAAGCGCGAACGTGCAACTAAATGTAAAAATAGTTGTTGCGTCACCAACCACGTCAGTTTGAAAAAACGTTATGAGCTAAAAAATCGGCGAGTTTATACTTATATTACCCATTCTTCGAGATTTAAAGCTTGAACAATTTTTTCAAGCACACTCTATGAAGGTTTTTTTTAGTTCAAGCTGACATTTTAAGAGAGAAAAATCTATGTATTTAATGATTTCTTTTTGCAAAACAAGAGATGATCACATATACGACGTGTACAACACTTTGCGAGTAGTAAGAATTTCTCTTTTAGTTAGCTACAAATTAGTAACAAAGGGTTTAACGCCTTTTTCTCGGGAAGGTAAGTCTGAGGGGTAACTTTTTGCTGTCTTTCTATATCCGGATAAAAACACTCGAAGAATTGTGAGAGTTCACGAAAGTCATGCAAAGCTTCGATTTTATCCGCCTCGGGTTTGCGTAACTGTCTTAGCGAAAGAAATAACAAGTTGACGGCCTATTTCTAAATTGTGAAGTAAAAACACCGCTTATGCGAGTTTTGCAATGTTATTTCACTCAGGCAAACTGCAGAACCTGTTGAAGCGGCCACTTCCTCCACTGCCTAGCTTCATTTGTCGGTACCTTCATCGCAGCCTTGGTTTGTTGCTGTGACAGATTTTCCTGTACTCCACCTGGATGTAGACAAGTTGGGCCCCGTTTACATGGGGAAAGGTTGTCCTGGTAAAAAGAGTCACCCTCTCAGCGGAGTCAACTTTAGCGAACGTTTATATGACAAAAACGCTGATCCCTTTGCCCGAGCCAACAGCGTTCATACATGCTCTGATTCCCTCGCCTCGACAGAGTCGATCCGGCTGAGCGAGCCTAAGTGTTTACATTAAGAAATGTTGGCCCGGCTATGTTGAACCTTTATCAAGAATTCTAGCCGAATCATGTTTGTTTGTCATGTAAACGGTTTATCACCTTTATTAAGGAAATGAAGGAAAAGTCTCGCCCAGGGTAGCTCGGATAAGTAAGGGACCCGGCTTCTACCCGGAACAAGTTTTCTCCTTATAAACGGGACCTTAGTTATCCTCACATACCCTGCGAGCAGAGGTTTCCGGGGCTTGCACGGCTTTTAGCGCTTAGGAAGTCGTTCGCGTGGCTTGTCTGTCGCCTAGTTGGTTTGTTTACTCCCCGTATTGACTTCGTAAACGCTAAAAGCCATACAAGAGAGAAACCTCTGCTCGCAGGGTAATCACAACACTGTGAGGGGTAAATGTCAGGGAAGTTAAAGACCTATGACGGTGATATAGTATTGGGTACTTAAAGGAAACCTCCCTCATTATTTTCAAAACAATCGTGATGATCTTGAACTGTCAAAATTTAAATTCGTTTTATTTACAAATTAAAGGAAGAATGGGGGGGGTTAATATTAACTGCTTCTGCTTTCTATAGTAACAACAAATTTAACTAAATGTTGTCTTAGAAATTTAAGATGGCTGTGCGCTTACGTAAATTGGCTATTTTTCGTATCTTAAATCAGAAAAAGAAAAGGCCATATTCAATTTATCAAAATTCTTAGATAATTCCGAGGCTGAAATTTTCACTATTCCCTCTTTGAGCTCAAAGAAAACCAGGCAAAATATGAAAACATGCTGGAAAACCTCGGGGTCTTGCTAGATTTTTGATACATCGAACGTTGACCATTGAAAATGTCGTCAAAACTACTAAAAAAATTTCTGTTATGTGTTTTTATAGTCTAGACGATAGGTGATAATTCAGCTTACTTTACGCAAGAGTTTAAAATATACTTGGAAAAGTCAGAAGCAAAATCAACCGATAGCTTTATCAATTTTCTGTTATTTCTTAATTTTCTTTCTCCTTCTCACAGCAATTAAGAATTCCCTTGTGCCAAAGTCACTTTGTTTAAAAGTTCTTGGCAGTCCCCTTTCTTGTTCGGTTCCCTATTATCATAAGCTACGTGCAAGAATATTTTAAAAATATTTTTAGAATATTTTTAAAAGGATAGACTAGTGAGCAGTACTTCTGTGCGAACTTCTTGAGTTGAAAAATTGTTTTATTGTCTTCTACTCGTTTTGTGCGACTAGCGCACACTTCATCAGCGAGTTTTACTATACAACTAAGAGTACCTGTATAAAAACCTAAAAACGAACTGAGTTTAACATACCGTAAAATTCCGAAAATAAGCCCCGGGGCTTATATTTTTCAAAGGCCCTTTTTGAGGGGCTTATATTCGGAGGGGCTTATGTACGGAGGGAAATTTGCGTTTCAAAATCGATTGGGCTGGGCTTATTTTTGGAAAGAAATTTACTGTTTTTCTTTGTTTTACTTTGTACTACAGGACAATTTCCAAGTACAAGCCCCCCCCGGGGGGGGGGGCTTATATTTGGAGGGGCGATTTAAAGGAAGGTTTTTTGCGTTACGAGTTTGGGGGGCTTATATTTGGAATATATATTTGGGGGGCTTATACATAGAGGGGCTTATTTGCGGAATTTTACGGTAAAACGCAAAACACCTACGGATTTGCGTAAAGGAAATGCAGAATATTTTAAAAATATTTTTAAAAGGATAAACCAGTGAGCAGCACTTTGCGAACTTCTTGAGTTGTAAAACTTTTTATTGTTTCCTACGCGTTTCGTGTGACTAGCGCACACTTCATCAGGGAGTGTTACAATACAACTAAGAGTACTTATATATATACCTAAAAAGGAACTGAGTTTTACATAAAATGGGCCCCAAACCATTACAAATATGTCACACCTTGCGAAAGATTTTCCCGCCTATTTCCTAGACGTATAACCACGAGGTTTACAGTTCCTGTACGCAAATCTGTAGATGTTTTGTGTTTTATGTTAAACTCAGTTCGCTTTTACTGAGGTATATACATATATACAGGTACTCTTAGTTATATTGTAAAACTCCCTGATGAGGTGTGCGCTAGTCACACGAAACGCGTAGGAGACAATAAAAAAAATTACAACTTAAGAAGATCGCAGAAGTGCTGCTCAGTGATTTATCCTTTTAAAAGTATTCCACCTTGTTGGGCCAATAATGTTGGGAGTTGTTGAGTTCGTGTTGGCGATGGTGTGTAAACGGATGCAACAACTCCCAACAATGTTGGAACCTGTAGTGCATCGCGGGAAGTATACAACGCATAAGGCTTTTTTAAAAACTTAAATTCGACAGCCCTCTTAACGGATCCAACAGGTTCCGATCACGGAATAAAAGAAATGTTTGGAGTTGTCGACTTACAAGTTTGACCGGTTTGAAACTTTGTGCAACAACGTGCAACATGGTGTGCAAACGGACGCAACATGTAACACTCAACAATGTTGAGTCCGTTTGCACGGGCTATACGGAACTTGCTCTTTATTGTTGAAGAGTTTACAAGAGTTGTTAACATGCTTTTTATTATTGTAACGTCTGCTTGGATTGTTAAAATTGTTTACTTTTTTAAGGTTGATTTGGCGACAGAACGGGAACAACAGTTGACGACGGTGCGTGGCTTGACCAATGGCAGAGCGGCAAATTGGGCACCGGAAGTCGCGTTTAGTCGTTTCCGCGCGTTTTCCTGCCGTCAACTGACGTTCCCGTTCTGTTGCTTTCAGCCAAGTCAGCCTAATTATACAGGCCGCGATGACGTCATTAGAACTGCCACAGCACTTCACGATTTTTCTTTCATATTCCAAGTGAGGATTTTACAGTTTAAATAACAGGGGAAACGAAACGTCTGCTGTTTAAATTTAAATGACGCCATCGTAAAAATGGTCCATCATGTTAGATTTGTAAAGGTTTTGAACTTTTTTGTGGTTTAGCAAGTTTTATTAACAAAGAGTCCAAAACAGCCACTTAGCATTTGTTAGGTTAACTTTAATTGTTGAATTGACCAGCAAACTGCTTTGACCTTGGCAAAGTGTATCATTGGAAAAAATAATTGGCGAATGCACTGCCTCGAGAGCGTAGTTGTAGTTATATCATTTTTTATATTGTTTCTATTGGGCCCGGTTCAGATGCCGAACTTTTCATGAGCCGAACCTGATACGTTGAATTAAGTACATGAAAAGTTCGGCGTCTGAACCAATTAGGAAAGCTTGTTTCAATTTGGAACGCCTCGGCCGTTCTTTTCGCCTAGCGCAGCCGGGAATTTCGCCTTTGGAGCGACTTTGGAACGGTTTTGATTCAGACGCCGAACTTTTCATGTACCTAACCTAATGCATAAATTGTTAAAATGTATTTTGTAAGCAGTTTGACCTAAATGAGCATTTTTCGCGTTTTGAACTTAGTGCAGCTGCAAGTAAGATCGGCGTCTGAATCAATTCAGCCGGTCTTAATAATTTGGGTCAGCCTTGATTTGAATTAGGTTCGGCTCATGAAAAGTTCGGCGTCTGAACCGGGCCTTGGTGCTTTTATAATTTCGGAAATTTAACATACGTTTTGTACAGTACTGGTTTTACAGATGAATTAGCTATTTTTTATGCTATTTTTTTATTTTTGTACTACAAAGTCTTAGACTTTACTAGAGTTAAAATTAAACATGTTGGCATCGTTCATTATTGTCTCATTCGCAAGGGAACGAAACTCATGGTACACGCCGAAGCAAAGCCTTTTGTACCGTGCTAACTCAGTCGAGGCGTCTTCCTCCAATAAGCGCCGCATACTTTCCAGGTTCATCGCGAATTAATTTCAATTGTTCTTATTTAATAAATCAGCATAAGTTTCACAGTCTGTTGATTCGCATAGAGCAGGACCACGCTCGACGAACAGCTGAAACAGATTTTTTCACTGAGCAATGCCTTTAGAGAACGAACCAGGTTGCATAAATGGCCAACTGTATTTGGAGTGCCCTACCTGTATGGCCAGGTAAGCTACAACAATTGATCTAGGTTCTGTTTGAGCTTCTACAGTACAATTCAAGAACATCAGCAATTCAATCACCAGTTTCATGTATAGAGATGATGTTGCTGTTGCAATCACAGGGTTCAATAATAGTTTCCCATTTCCAAGAAGCTTCTGTATACCGCATCGCTTATCAGCAAAAAATGATATTCGGAATTTAAATCTTTTAAAAATATTTTAGTTAAGCTCTTCTCAATAAGCGAACACTAATTGATATTCCTGGCCCGCGTTTTTCATGGCGTGGAATATAAATAATTCTATTTGATTCCAATGCAAAATAGGTGTATTTACGACTTTTCCTTCAAACATCTAGTTGAAAAAGCATCAGTAAAGAAATTGAAAATGAAAAGAGAATTCAGTTAGCTTGACTGAGCCAAATTCATCGTTTTCAGCAGTGAACTTGCTCCTCCACTTTCAATTCACCATCAGTTACCGTGGGAGGATATGTCTCGCTCCAGTAATTATTCAATAACAGGTTATACAGTTGACTCCCGAGATCCACACACTCGCTAACTCGAACCAAAATCGATTTCCCCTGGATTTCTTTCATACATTTACTAGTAATTTTACCCTCGGTAACTCAAACCCTCGATAACTCGAACCTCCCGCTAACTTGAAGTGATTTTTGTTTTCTGTCCGATCATTTCTATAATTTTACACTCGATAACTCGAACCATCCAGGGGCCCTTGCAAAGACAAATACAGGACATGTGGCAAAGACGTGTCATCAGAGTTCGTCCCCTTCCCTGTCGGCGAGATCACCTTCACTGTGAATGGTACACAATATAAAGTTATCAATCCTGATCCGACCATGAGCCTGAACGAATGGATTAGAGATCAGCCTGGACTGCAAGGTACTTTTAGCATCTAAGATAACATTGTGCATCGACCTAACTTACCTTTCACTTTTAATTTATAACCTTGACCTTCCAAGAAGTTTAATTTGCTTCCGCTGAGGTAACCCCACGATAAGACGATAAGTGCTCGGCGAAATCGCGCGCGCGAAAATTGGTAGGTCAGGGTTATGGTTAGGGTTACATTTGAGTTCCGATTTTTAAGCCCGCTTGTGTTTCCTTTCCCTTTTAATACAAGAAAAATATGGAACCACGGCATTATTTCACTCAACTTTCAATTCGTAATAACCTTCCTCCGCTTCTACCATGGGCAGATAAAAAGACTTAAGAATCTACAACCGCTTGGTTAAGCTGGTACAGAATACTACGTAGTCTGTTCACAATCTTGTTCTGTTACAAATTAATTTCACCCCCAAAATTTTCTATATATTTATGTTTTCTTGAAACTTGACACATCTAGGTACAAAAGTAATGTGCCGTGAGGGAGGGTGTGGCTGTTGTGTAGTGTCAGTAACAAGAAATGATCTGAGCACTGGCAAAGATGTTACAATTGCTGTCAACTCGGTAAGTACTCCAGACCTTCAATGCGATATAAAATTGTAAGAGAAATGCTTGACTTACAATAAAGAAAACTGATGCTGTATTAGAACTGCTAAGAATTAAAAATTCTCAATTCATTTATTGATGAATAAATGTTTCTTTTATTTACTTATTCATATGGAAATTGAAAGTGAAATTCTTTAGCAGTCCTTTGAGTTTATGACTTCATAAATTTAACTTACAGAAAAAGGAATATTGGTGGTATATATCCAGTCCTTCGGATTGTTAAACGCCAGATATCATAAGACAAGTCCCGCCCCCTAAACACATCAATTCCACCCTATCCTTATAGCGTGTTTAGGACAGAGAAGACAGAAACCATACCCTGTTCAGAGGCAGATCCACGTACTGAGGCCATATAACAAAGTATTTCCGGGCCTTATACACTAAGTTTTTATACCTACTTGTTCATGTTTATTACTGAAACCTTCTTTTAGTGCCTATTCCCATTGTGTGCTTCTAATGGTGCGGTTATTACGACAGTTGAAGGCATTGGGAAGTAAGTGTCATTGCACGCAAACTTGTGTGTTTACTCTGCAGCCGCGTACGTTCTTGATTTATCATATCTGGCAATAGGCATGCCGTGATAGTAGGGGTCCGTACACCTTCCAAAGCGTCAAATGCGTTCTAAAGTAAAAGTTTCATAAACAAAACCTGTAAATTGCTTGTTTGTACAATAGAAGTAAAGAAACGTGCTTCTACTATCAGTGGGGTACGGTGACCCGTAAGGGACATTACAATATATTTTTTCCCTTAAGTTATCGCGCAATAATTAGTCAGTTTATCGCGCGATAAATGAGAAAATTTAAAAATTATCGCGCGATAAATGAGATCATTTAAAAATTATCGGGCGATAATTAGTCAGTTTATCGCGCGATAAATGAGAAAATGTAAAAACTATTGCGCGATAATTAGTCAGTTTGGGAAAATGTAAGGGGTGACAGGCCGCACATCTATACCGGCGTGAAACCTTGTGTAAACCTTTTATATTTTAGCTCTAACGAGCATGTCCTTTAGGGATTTTCCTTTCTTCTTGGTTCTTTAAAAATTTGGCGAAGTAACGGTTGGTTTTGTGTAAGATTCCATTTTTTCAGTAAAACTTCTTTTAAAGTAGACACTGAGGGCTGGTACTGTGTCACGAAAGGCAATATTTTTTTTCCTCTTTGTTGTTGTGTTTCAGGAGAGCAGACTCCCTCTCTGTGAACTTTATATCTGAGAGAAGGTTTTTTATCATAGTTTGTGGGTAGCCTCTGTCAATCAAGCGTTTTTTTGAAATTTGAAATATTTTCCTCAAAAGTAGTTTTTGAGGAGTTTGTTCGTAGGATTCTCAAGGCTTCTCCTTCTCGTTTTTTAACACTCGGCGGGTGACAAGAGGTGAAATGTGTGTACTGGAAGGTTTCCGTTCTTGTCTATACGTCAAGGATAGATTTTTCCTTGAATCTTGTGCCTTTGTATACAACCGTGTCTAAAAACACAGTCTCAGTGTCAGATATTTCGGCCGTGAATTTGATAGTTGGGTGATGTAAGTTTGCTTGTTCGATGTACGCTTCGCGTTTCGATGTCTGGTTTACTTATGTCCCACAGGGAAAAGATATCGTCAATGTAGCGTTTCCAAACTGTAGGTTTAAAAACGGTTCTGCTTAGAATTGTGGATTAGGTGTTTGAGATTAGGTGTTTGAGATAGCCATTTTCTTGTCATGTCATCAATATGATTCTCACGGTGAAGATCCGTAATTAGGCGCAAGACCTTGCTGTGTGTTTCTTTCACCATGGGTTGAGAGAGAGGTCTGTAGTTATGTTTGTCGCCGATTTGTATGTAACTCTTTCTTATTTTGTCAGTTTTGTTCACGACTACTGCGATAAACTGACTAATTATCGCGCGATAATTCAAACTTATCGGGCGATAAAATGAACAGTTATCGCGTAGCCTGCGTAGCAGGCGTCGAAAGGGATAGAAGGCTATTATCGCGCGATAATTTTTAAATTTTCTCATTTATCGCGCGATAAATTTGAATTATCGCGCGATAACTTAAGAAAAAAAAAGAAGATTGCAATGTCCCTTACGGGCCACCGTAGTGGGGACCATCAAGCGCAAACGAATCTGTTTCCATTAAGACCTAAGTTTGACGATTTGTGCACATTCTTTAACGCATTAGAAAAGCTGCTGTGCAAAAATAATTAAGCTTGATTTATCGTGCTTCTTTTTCTATTTATTAAAATGGTCGCCAGTCTTCAGAACGTTCTCCTACTCCCTTTCTGATTTCCTTGTCCATCATTTCTTCCCTTCAGGCTCGCATCTTACCAAAACTGTTCTAAGCATGGGAAGTTTAAGAGCGTACGCTCCCAAGAGGACTATCGCTTTTACGTCTTGATCCTAAATCTCGCTGACCGAATTTTAACATTCGAGCCGTTTTAAAACTAAAACACGAGAGTCAAGTTATAAATAAGAGGGACGTTGGAGCCTTCAGAGTTTTTTTTTTAAGTTTACGTTCACTACTGATAAACTTGAATTTGTACGTTGTAGAGTCTTTTAGAACTCGAACTAAAAGAAGACATCGCGTCTTTTTACACATTTGACGCACTAAAAACTTTAAAAACTGTAAAAATAAAAACCTTGAGATATGTTTCGCTCTTCGAGCCTGTTCAGTCAATGCAGTTTTAATTTTACAGTTTTTAGTGCGTTCAATGAGTAAAAAGACGTGATGTCTTCTTCTAGTTCAAGTTTTTTCTAACATATCCCTGGCCTCGTCGTTTAGAATTGTTCAGAATATTTTTTACAACTCCTTACAACATTTGCAGGTTTAAGGTAAAAAAAACTATTTTTCTGAATTACAGTCGATTTGACGGATATCATCCCATCCAGGAAAGACTTGCGGATCATAACGGAAGTCAGTGTGGCTATTGTTCACCAGGATTTGTCATGAACATGTATAGGTCTGTATGGAGTGATGTTCACGATACACGTTTCTTGTATTGGATTTGTGCACTTTGAAATTGGTTAAGAAATCTAGGGTCCCTTCTCCTACCAATTTATTTTGTTTTTATGCCAGTTTGTTGAAAGAGAATCGTTATCCGTCCAAGCAAGAAATTGAGGACAGCTTTGATGGGAACATATGCCGCTGTACAGGTTAGGGTTTAACTTTAACTGTGAATTGACTTGAGTGAACGCCTGGTTTTAGCGGTGAATTTACCACTGGCCTTAATCTGCGCCTTGATGACTGGACCTTTAATGTAGATTGTACTATTCGCTACAAAACACTTCATCTACTATTCTAAGACGTCTCTCCTCCGTAGATTCTCCCGCTGGGATTCAAAAGAATTTTTAAAAAGAAAATGTTAAGCGCGTTGAAAAACAATGGGAAGAGGGCGAGAGACGGGGAGCCTCGCCTCGCTTCCCGTCATCCCCCGCGTGCTTCTATTTTTTCTTTTCCCAGCCTAGCTCCCTACGACACTAAGAGGGTGCATTATGGTCAAAATGGTGAACTGCAATGTTTCAGGACCCATTAATCGCCTTCCTTTTATCGTTACATCGTTAGGTTACCGTCCAATTCTAGATGCAATGAAGACGTTCGCAAAATCCTCAGATCCTATAGATATCGAGGTATTTACGACTTAACCGGACTCATTTTTCATAAAAGTCATCAAAGACCTCGTCCACAGTAACCCATGGCCACTTTCGTTCGAAAGCGAAGACATTTGACTTTAACCGGTAAAGTAGTCTTCACCGTTATTTCAACAAACTTACAAGACATTTCATAGCGTGTTGTTTGAAATTGAAAGATGATAAAGCCTTGAAAACTTGACAGTGTTAGGAAAACTGGACCAAACATCAATTGACCTTTGCGTCTTTCGAATTAGACAACATTAAACTTACCCTTTCAATCCTCAAAAACCTGGGCCTTTTCCTTTTTTGTTACAAGTATAAACCTAGTGAATATGTCCAGCCACACGAACCAAATTCAAATAATTTCACAATTTCACGCACCATAGTCTTGCTAAATGTTCAAAAACGGGTCGGGGAGGGTCTAAGAAAGACAAAATTACAAAAAAAAAAAAAAAAATGAAAAAACCCAACAGTCAGGGGCACCCAACGACAATTTTCGGAAAAATATCAGTTCGGAAGACGATTTGAGATCTAGAATTTTCGGAACATTTGTTGTAAAATTACTTGCTTGCCTGCCTCTCCTAGGATTTTCGAACATCTAAAACATGGTAAAATTGCCCATTTTCAACGGATTTTTACCCTAAAAAGGTCACCTAGAATTTTCGGGAGCCTTTTTTCTGGCTGAAATTTTCGAACAGGTAAGTTTTGATCCCTATAATTTTCGGATCACTTGACTTTCAGCTAGGAAATCCGAACAGGTGAAAAATTTATAGGGGATAAAAATATGCCCATATTAACCGTTTAAATACTAAAACACGTTTAACAATGCTATGTTTAAGTGATTTTGAACTATATTCTCGTTGGGTGCCCCTCAACAGTGCCCACTTAAACGTTTTGAAAACTTCAAGAACAAAATTAATTATCAATGGAACCTCGATACAACGACAGGCCAACGGATTGGCGAAATTTGCTCGCTTTAACGAGGTTTCGTTATATCGAGGTTCTTTTTCATATACTTTGCTATTGCTGGGGTAACGAAATTCGTTCGTTATAACGAGGACTTTGTTATTTAGAGATTAGTTATATTGGGATTCCACTGTTCAACGTTTCTGATAGGAAATAAGCAAGTGCTCAAGTCCATGTTTTAATGGAGAGGTAAACTGTTTAAGAAAATGTGTGACATTATCTGGTGATAGAGAAGCGAATGTGCTGTGGTATTGTCCAAAGTCAAAAGCTGATTTGTATGCATTGATGTGTAAACACAAGAATGATAAAGTCAGGCTGGTGGCTGGAAATACTGGACAAGGTGAGTATAAAGAACTTTGTTTCTCGTTCAGAAAACAGGGGCACTCAACGACTGTTTTCTGTAAAATATCTGTTCGGAGAAGCAAAAATTGCCTAGAATTTTCTATAGCTTGAGCAAGGCTAAAAATTTCTAGATGAACGGTTCCATTCATGTACAATTTTCGAAGCTTTCGTAATAAATTCCCTACGATTTTCGGAAGTTTAAGAGATTTTCCCTATAACCTCGTGTTTTTTTCTCCGTGTGAATAAGGTTTTAGATTCTGGCTTCCTTGAAGGCTCTTTAACGCGTTTAGGTAAAATGGAGCGGCGTGAAGAATTTCTTTTCCTTTTCCTTTTCTCCCTCCACTTTCTACTTCGTCATTCCTCACCATATGAACGCCGGGAACATGCTTGTGTCCTTGAAACTGTGCGTTTTATAGCTACTGTTAATGACTGAGCAAATTATTACTTGCAGGCATTTACAAGAATGACGGCCCTTTTGATGTGATGATTGATATTAATCAGATAGAGGAACTGCACAACGTTCCGAGTAATACCAAGGTAATGTTTAAAAATTGAAGATGAAGCCCAAACGCCTTTCACCTTCAATGGCATAGAACATGAAAGAAAAGATTTGAAATTGCATCTCATTTCTTACACTAAAAAAAAGTCTTACAATAGTCGAAACAGTAGACAGATCTTAAATTATTTTTTGACTTTATGTCATCTTTTGTTGGATTGATGAGACAGCTTTAGTCCGTAGTCCCCTCGTCACTTCATTTTTTACTTATTATTTGTAAATTCTATTCTTGTGCGCCAAGTGAATAAAACAAATAAACAAGACTTAATTACCTTGCACAAAGTAGTCAGGTCTACAAAAAAGTTGAAATTTATTTTGTTTTTTTTTTAATTTTTGACTAGGATGTTGTTCTTCTTTGTTATAGGAACAGTGTGGTAGCATTAAAATTGGTGCTGGTGTGTCATTGAACACCTTTATAAGTGTACTGAATAACATAGCCAGGACATGGGAAGGTTTTAATGTGATGGCTGATCACATACGCAAGGTAAAATATTTCTTAAAGTGAAAATGGTCCTTGTAGTTAAACGGACAACCTTTTAGCTGTTGAAAAAGAATCTGAAAAGAACGTAAGAAGATCTGATGAATTTTTACGCAAGCCAAGCAAAAGAGCAGTTTTATGTAAAAGAATAAAAGACGCGCCTTATATCATCTATTACCCCAACCAAGAGAAAAAACACTCTCGCTCCAACTTAGCAATTAGCAGAACGAAATAGTACATTAACGCACAGTGCTGACAAGTGAGGTTAAAAGTTTTTGTTTTGCTTTACATTAAAAAAAAATAATTGCGTCGATTGATGGGCGCTATGCAGAGTATGTATCTAATTGTTCAACCCAATTAATTCAGATTTCGCTGTAGAAAATCATTTTTTTCTTTTACTACATTTAGTGTCAGGACTACAGAGAGCTATTTTTATACATGTATGTACATATTTCAACGCGTTTTTGGTAAAAAATACTCAAATAAATAAATTGATAATTCTAATGAAAGGTAAAGTTATCATTACTTTTCTCCTTCATAGGTTGCAAATGTTCCTGTTCGAAATGTGAGTGATTCAATATTTCATCCGGTTAAATGATATCAAAGGCATACACAGTAATTTTGAAGGAGTTATAATAACTCCTTTAGTGGGGTAAATTTAACTCCTTACAGTGGAGTTATTTTTGTAGCTCCAAAAAGGAGTATTAAGAACTCTTTCTCAGGGATAAAAAATCACCCCAGACATTGAGGAGTTAAAATAACCCGCAAAAAGGAGTTATCCTGTACCTAAATTGTTTACTCCAGTTTCAGAGTTAAACTAACTTCAAAAAGAGTAAAAACAACTCATGTAAGGAGTAAAAATAACCCCTTTTCTGAGTTATTTTAACTCCAGACTGGGAGTTAAAAGACCTCTTTTTCAGGAGTAAAAATGACCCCAAATTTGGACTTTAATTAGGAGTTAAAGTAACCCCATAAAAGGGGTTATTCTGTACCTAAAATTTTTACTCCTTTGGAGTTATAATGACTCCAACATTACAAAATGTATGACGGCAGAAGGTAACAGTGCACTGTTTTCCACAAATTTTGACCGACGAACACAGTTACAGCAAGGTTTAATGAATTTCCAGCTTCAAAAATTTCCAGCTATAGGCCGATTCATCGTGACATCATTGTTTACATTTTTGCTCATTAGTTCTCGGGAAACAAAAATAACTGTTTCCTTATGGATCAGTCGTTAAGTGATTAATATTAGCCTCTTTCTTTTTTTGCAAATATCCACCCATCTTGACCTCTTGCATGGTGAATAACGCATATGTAATGACGTTTGGCTAGGTTGGTGGTATTGCAGGGAATCTAATGTTGACGCATACAAACTCTGGTTTTCCTTCTGATATTTTCACCATTCTTGAAGCGGTTGGAGCATGCCTGATTATCGGTAAGATTCCTGTATGGACAGTAATAAAAACGATAGGGTCAGGTTTGTGTTTAAGAATTCACAGATCTATAATAACATTGCAATAATATATCTCTATCAGTGTTTTTTGAACTTCTCATCTTCCTGTAGGTGACAGTACAACAGAAAGTGAGTCTCAGTATTCCTTGTTGGAATTTCTTTCTCTTGATATGACTGGCAAGGTTTGTGAATTGTTTACTTCTGATAAATAATTGCTTACGTCTTTAGTGGAAAACCAAGAGAATATAAATTTGCGTATAATTCAAAGAATATATGATACAACCCACAAAAAATCTATTCTAAAAGACACAAATTTTCGGAGGGCACTTAAACAGTTGGTTTTGTGAGTACAAAGCCTTTCAAATGGAGAAAACAATTTTTCCTCATGGAGACGATACTGAAAAGTGTTGCCTTTCACTTACTTCCGTTTCAGTTAGTAATTCCAAATTTTCTTTCTTATTCTGTCAAACGTTGACAAGGTCGAAAAAGAAAAGATCCTGGGGACGAGTTTCTGGTGCGGAATTCCAGAAACAAAGCAAGCATGGCGAAACACAAATGCTTGCTTTGGCAACTCTTAAAGCTGCATCACACATCCTTTTCGACTTCATTGATAAAACGTTTTCACATTGGCAGTCTTAACTCAATAACTTATTTGCTGAAAAGGCCCAGTGCTACGATTCATTGCTCTTAGAATTCTTAAGGGTTAACTTAAAATTAGAGCTTTATAAAATATACTACACTGGAACTACTGTAAAGAGTTTTTGCACATGCTCACAGGTCATCTTGGCTGTTATGTTGCCTGCTTTATCACGTGACTATATCATTTTCACCCACAAAGTCATGCCAAGATCTCAGGTAAGAATATGATATTAATAAAAGATGCCCTTACCAAGAGATCAACATGAAGTTGCTTACTTTTTTAGAATCATTTGTCGTTATTCTATTTAGTAAAAATACCTTCATATGACAAACCTTATTTCCATTAATTTTGCGTGTACATACATATTTTGGAAAGTATTATTTATATTGTCGTTCACACAAGAAAAAATGACCAATTTGCAGTTAACACAGCGATTTGTTCATTTCTTTTTTGTTAAGACCAGTCGATTTACGATGGGTTAAAATAGCGACCCTTTGTATTGTGTTTTTAAAGGGTTCGTTTAGGAAAGATGGGACGTTTACTCAAGTTAATCAGTACCTACGTTTTATAATTTCTTTTTCTAGCAACGTTTTCTGGTTGTAGCTGTCTTATACGACCCTTATTCATCATTATTGAAAATAAAATCTCCTTATTTTCAGAATGCTCACGCATATGTGAATGCTGGTTTTGTGGCCAAGTTGGACAAGAACACCATGACTTTGAATAATGTTAGGATTGTGTATGCTGGAATAACACCGTTTTCTGTAAGAACATTTTCTATAACTTTTGACATGAAGGACTAGACTCACTTTCTGACAAATTATGACAAAACAAGCTGTATAAGAAGCATTTCCAAAGTGAAGCAGAAGATAGCATATCATTTTACCCCACATATTTTCACAGCCATTTCATAGGGTGTATTTTTTAATCTGGCCACGTTAACGGGTATGCTCTTAAATCTTGACTCTAACTAGCGACGATCAGGCGACCGATAGATGTGAAGGTTATCATTTATTTGCGGTGTGTTTTTTTAATAAGAATTAAAACATCCAGGGTTGTATCTAGGGTACTTTAGGGGTAGAAGCTTCCCCCCGCAAATATATTGCTATCATTACAGTATACAAGTCATTACACTGGAAAAATCATCCAGACGTTACAAGGAAAGTGCACATGAAGTAAATATTCCCTGTCTAAAGACACCATGTGACCCCACGACTAAAATATTAAATACATCATTACAGTATACAAAAATCATTATATATTCTGGAAAAATCATCCAGACGGAGTTTGTTTACAATTTGAATCAAACACATTTCCGGATGGGATTTTTATCGTTTGTGTCGGTCAAGTGCGTTTTCATACGATATTGTTTCACCAAATTCAACAAATCAGAAAAATGAAAAAAAAAGTAATTTTTTGTAAATTAAAAACTATCTACCAGTAAACAACGACAAACTGAAAAATAATTTTCTACCTACCGTCGACAAGCTTCTTTGGTATTTGTTTGTACGACTGCTTCATTTATCGCTCAAATTTCGTCTTCCGAAAATGTCTCGAAACGAGACGCAATCTTTGCTCCGGTCGCAAAACAGTGAATAACCAAGGATATTCCAAGTTACAATAGCCAATCAAAATGCGTGAAAACTGCTATTCACTTATTTGGTAAATACTAATAACTCTTATTTTGATTTTGATTGTTACAATTCATTTATACTATCAACAATTCATAGTTGAGTAATGGAATAACTTATTACTTAATAACTGTCTTTATCGACACCACAGATGCACGCCGTTAAAACAGAGGCATTCTTGACTGGTAAAAACCTGACAAAGGAAAATACTCTAACAGGTAATTCAACCGCTGTCCACAAAAGAAGTTTACTCAAATGTATATTTGTAATAAATCATTCGTAGGACCATAGATCTCCTCGTTATAATAACCGGGGATATGCGGGTTATAAATGTTCCTTCTTCAGCTCTTCGTTTTCGTCTTATGCCATTTATCGGTTTGGTTTTCAATAACTCATGTAGATCTTTGTTTGTTTCAGGTGCCCTTGAAGTTCTGGAACAGGAGATTTCTCCTCATTCTTTTCCTACAGGTTCAAGCAAAAAATACCGAAAATCCCTAGCACTTGGTTTGTTTTACAAAGTACTAAACAATTTTATAGTATTATCTACAATTTTCTTTTTTAGAAAGAACTGCCGACCAGGACAAGTGTGATTAAAAGCTATAAGATATAAATTAATGCTTTTATTGTCAGACAATATCCCAAATTGAGGCTTTCATTGTGCAATTTTTAACCGATGAAAATTAAAAAAATAATAGCCTCCTCAAGATTTCAGTCTAAATTATTTAAAGCATTACTTCTACTCGCTATTCACGACGACCTTTACAGAACGGGTCCTATAGACTCCGGCTTTTGTTATGACCGATTGATTTTAAATTGTTAGTTGTCGAAGAAAACGAGGATTACGTACAAAAACTGATCATTTATACTTGTGTTTTACAGTTCTTTTTGTCTGCTCTTGGTGATAAAGCATCTGCAAGAGTAAGATCAGCGGCTATGGCCTTCATTCGTCCTGTTTCTTGTGGAGTACAGAGTTATGACTCAAAGCCACAACAACATCCACTAACAAAACCCTTGAATAAACTTACTGCCAAAATACAGGTAAATAAAAACTATTGCGAACGTGATGTGCAAAGGATCAAAAAGCTAGTTAATTAACCCTTTGACGACGGCTTTGATCGTGTCGGTTTTCTGGTTTGGAAAGTTCTAACATATTTTCCTTCCTGGACCAATTTAGCTTTCCATTTAAGATATAGATATGTTAAGCAGCAAAATAAGCAAGCAAAGATCTTTCCACGGGCCTCATTTTGCTAATTTGGAACAGTTATGACAAAGTTTCCAAGAAACATTTTTGTTAAAAGTGCGCTGCAAATTTTGCTATTCACCCTTCTACTCTTTGCAGATTAGGATTTTCCGTTTTCTGGAAAGAAAGACGACAAAGGGAGCAAGAAAACTGGTGAAAACAAAACTTTTATCACCCCACCCAACATTTTTTATTATTTTCTAAATCGCGGACGGTTAAAGAGATGTTAGATGAGTTACGTACGACTTACACCTGTGAACTTGTGTTATTGTTAGACATCTGGCGAAGCTCAGTATGTTTCCGATATTCCAGCTGTACCTGGAGAACTACACGCTGCCTTTGTTGTTAGCAAACGGGTATGAACCATTTTCTATTAAAGACGTTGATTTCATTACTATTATTTTAATTCTGAACAATAAACACTTATTGGATGAAGGTCAGTGTAACAGGAAGAATTATTAGCAATTATGGGATGAGGCTGAGAATAAGCTAAAAAATTATCCAGATCAAGGTGGGTGTTATTCGTCTTCGGCCTCGGTTTGCAGTAAAGCTTAAAAAAGTAATGATTGAAATATGAAAAGAAACGTTCATTGAAAGAACCCTTATAATATTAAATTGCATTTTAGTACATTTTATTCTATCAACATAGCCTTGTGAGATAGTTTATCTGGTCTGAAGTGAGTTTTAATTTTAAAAAAAAGTAGAACGTAGATTTTCGTGTACAATTCATCGTAATGATTTTTTTTTAACTTGCAGGGAAACTGCAAGATCAGTTCTGTTGATGCATCTGAGGCATTGGTTAGTGACTCCAGTTTTATCGTAAAATATATTAGGAGATCTAGTAAAACGATAGTCCACGTTCGATATATTAAAAGCTTTAGGGACAAAAATGCAGGTTTTTGATGACCCCATTGTCTCGCAAATCCCAGAAGAGACTTGAGCACAAAGACAACCAAACCACATTTCATGATAAATATGACCAGAAAGCCTCGGAGTCATGTTAATATATCAAACGTGAGCTAGATAGATCAACTTCAGCTGCATGCAAACGGACGCAAAATTGTTGGACAACAACTCCCAACATTGTTGATGTTGTGTCCGTTTGGATACCCTGTAGTTGTTGCGTGGTGTCGGGAGCTGTTGCGCAAAGTTTGAAACGGATTAAATGTTTAGCTATGAGCAAACATTTGCAACACTGTTGGCCAACAACTCTCAACATTGTCCGTTTGAACGTAGCCTTAGACTCTTTAGATGCATATATTATTTGGCCTCGACAAATCACCCGGCAAAGCCCTTCGCACACTGCAGTCTTCATAAAAAAGGGACGTTTCACTTCTCTTTTGGTTCTGTTTTGTGGAGCCTCCTACCAATCAAATAATCATTTGTTGCAAAACTATAAGTTCAGCCAGAGCTACAATTCAACGAACTTGTGATTGACAAGCTAAGTTGTTCAGTGCATGCACGGCATTGAGAAATTTTCTTTGCTTTGTAGATATTACCTGGAGTAGTCAAATATATCACAGCTGCAGATATTCCCAAAGGTGGTGTCAACAATTTTATGCCAGTATCTGAGTTCGAACCCGAAGAGGTAATTTCTGAACTACATTTGTACACTTTTTTATGTAGATTGTAGTAAATCTACGTTAACAATTTTTACCATCTGCATTCAATATGCAAGGAAATTATCGAAAAGCGCGATTGTCAATTATAGACCATCGACAGATGACGTCTTAAAAAGTGTGCTTTTAACAGAAGAGTTACACAAGAGCCGCCAGCGAATGAATGCGTTACTTAAAACTTTCTTACCCGTCTTTCGGGATTTATGGATCTGACGCAATAAACCGTAAAATGGAATATTTGTTTTATTCAACAGGTAGAAGAATAAAAGAACAAATTCGCCTCGTACTAGTGCTCGTTTGTTACAGGTGTTTTCATGTCGACATAAAAACTCTTTTCTTCTAGGTTTCGTCTGTGTCTTACTAGTCGTAAACAACTTCTACTAAGCTATTTATTCGAGGGCTCGCTTGTTAAATCTGAAATTATCTCGTTAAATGTGTAAACATTTTCAAAACCGTTTGATCATATTGTACAATACATCGACTTGAGCTTTTTTGATGTCATCCGTCTGTGTGATCCTTCGGGTAAGACTCAATCAGCGATCACAGCGCGCGCCGGTTTCATTAATAATAAAAACTATTCCCTCTCGTATTGCTTATTCAATATTAGTTCTTCAGTATCACTTACTATATAAAGGCAATAACGTTGTGTTTGTGTTACAGGTACTTTGTACTGGAAATGTTTTATTCGCTGGCCAGGCGTTGGGTCTTATTGTAGCTGGTAAGTCCGTAGTTTTTTTTAACCCATTTTGGCAGTTTTCAAAGAAAATGATACAAATTAGAGAGTAAACCTTGAGTGAAGCCAGATAGAAATAAGAGGCCCTTCTGGTCTAAAAATAGTATAGTTTAATAACCTGGTATTTAACTTTCCCTTGTTCATGTTGATCCCAAGTTAACTCAATCAAGTGAGTTCTGGGTAATTGGGAACATTTGACAGAGTGTGGTCGCTGTAGTGGCTAAAGGGAGGGCTTCAAATTTTTGCTCAGGTCTGAATTTAGGGTCGGGAAAATCGCAGATTTTGGTCTGAAATAGGGTTAAGGGGTTAGAGTATCCTTTCCGTACGTCATCTGACTCCTTTAAAAGAAGCAAATCTGAGGTAACGCTGGAATAGACCATTTTACATTTGGGGCTTAGTATCCTAGCCTTTGACTGAACATGAGGCTGAGTTTGACCTGTTTTGATACAAACCTCTTTCCCTTTCTTATGGAAATTATGTTTAAAAAATACTAGTTAGCATAAGAACAACATTATTTACATAATAAAACAGCAAGGGTTGTATTAAAACAAAATCAACTCCAGCCTCGTTTTCAGCTGTAACCTTAAAATGGGCTAGTGGGCGATACCAGGGAGCTAAAACTGAACTCTTAACCATTCATACTGACCCGCTTTACGGTGTGTGATCTATCTGGGTTCCAATTTTCAGCACAGTTAATCTCTTCCTCTTTAGGGGTCACGTAGAAAGAGATTTCTTTTTTACGACGCTAAGCTTTGTCCCTTTAGCGGTAGTTTCAGTGAGATTTGAGATTTGCCTGCTGTAGAGTATACTCCCATAACATTGCAGTTCTAGGGAAATATAATTACAATTTGCAACACAGCAGTTCCAACATCAAATATTAACGTGCAATACTAGGAAACGAAATTACTGGCGTTCAAACCAGTCCACAATGGTTGCACTTGATAAATTTACTTTTGTAGATACCCAGCGACACGCAGATGAAGCAGCTAAAGCTGTAAAAATTGTGTACAAAGAACAGAAGCCTCCCATTCTCACCATAGACGAAGCCATTGAAGCAAACTCGTTCTTCGACGTAAATGCTGTTGAATATACTTCCAAAGCTACGGATACAACTTTAAAGAAAGGCGACGCAGATGGTAGGCTGCTTCTTTTGTGAATTTAAAGACACTTAAAATTTATAGGTTTTTAAATCGTATATACATGCGGGTGAAACAAGCGTACCATTTGATGGGTCATGAGCATGTTTTAAAACTGAACTTTTTACACTATATTGTACGTCTTTATAGATTCTGAGAATCCTTCATTTTTCCGGCTACCCATCAACTTAATCAACGAACGATTTAAAAATGTTTTATTAAGTTATTCATTCCAAAACATTTGCTCCAAAACAGATTCAACAGATCATTCTATTTTTGTAGAGTATATAACACTCTTTCTTTGTCTTTTTTTTTGTTTTGTTTTGTTTTTTTCAATCAGCTGCAATCAGAAACTCGCCACACATTGTGCAGGGTACGGTGTATACTGGAAATCAGTTTCAATATCATATTGAAAATCAGGTAAGAAATTTTTGCTATTGACCACTAGTAAACTGACTACCAGTTAAGTTCCAAAACGGAGTTACGACGTATATTAGCAAATTTATTAGATATCTGTTTTATTAGATATTAAGCAATTATCGGGTGAGGTTGAGTATGATGTACAGAGGACATTACACGGTGGCGAGAAGGTATGAATTTTATGTTTGAGTGGCAAGAAAAAATGTATCTCACTAATGAGCGCAGAGAACGAGTAAGATACTTTTCTTTCCAAGAGAACATAAAATTTATACCGAGGACGTATTTGAGTGAAGCAAACTAATTAAACTTATTGCTCCAAATTAAATAAGCCTCTATCAGATTTTCGCATATCCCTTAGCAGTCCCATCATCGCCTTTGACAGCAATGGCTGTGAAAGGGAGCAGGTATGGTTCAATGGTAAGAGCCTTCGCATCCCAGCCACTAGTGAGGCTCCGTCGGTTTCGAGTCCCGGCGAAGTCGCCATCGTACCTGAGTTTGTTGTTGGTTCTCTTCTCTGCTAGGAGAGCCAATCTACGCTTTTAGTAATACAGTATAAACCAAGGGTTCGAAATAATATATTCCAATCTGGTCTGAAAATTGTCTCCGGTTAGGTTGGAAAACTTATGCAGTTCTTTGATGTTGTTAGCAAGTTTACGCAACAGGACGGCAGAAAGAAGAGGACGGCAAAACGCAAAACGAGTGTGACAAACGTGACGGGGCTATTACTTACGTGTTTTGTCGAGAATTCACGTAACGTTGACGTTTTTTGCTCTTCTAAAAAAACATCTGAGTGTTTAAAGAAATGTGAAGTTTGGCGGAAGGTCTCTTCAAACAAAATCATTGTCACACTTGTCACTCAAGGTTTGCCGTAGTCTTTTCTCACCCGTCCTGTTGCGCAAGTTCATTAAATGCGTCTACTTTAATTTAGAATGCCTTAATATACTCACTGGTAATACTACTTTTTATTGGTAACTATATTTATGTCAGATAGCGCTGTGCGTGCCAGAGGATGATAGTCTAACTGTCCACTGCGCAACTCAAAAGATTGATGGAACCCAAAGAGCTGTCGCTAAGGTTCTTAACCTACCAATTCACAGGTAATTATAATCCACTCTTTTCTGCGCGCGTCATTTTTTAAAGGCAATTACAAATAACAGTTTATAAAGGAACATCAGATATTTCCTATAATTATACTCATGAATGTCATGAATATTCATTCATTAATTTATTTAATTTGCACAGAGTTAATATGAGTGTGAAGAGGTGCGGAGGAGCGTTTGGCGCCAGGATCACAAGAGCAAACCAAGTCGCATCTGCATGCGCCATAGCTGCTTATGTAACCAAACGGTAAACGTTTTGTTCTTTAAGGTTCGATACGTAAAGTGGAATACTCTGGGATCGTTCTTTTTCCTTTTTGCACTTAAGATTGATCCCAAAATGGCTTACGTACTCAGCAATTCTCTCTCCTCCTTGCTCAAACATAACATTTCTAGAAACGGCATGTTGGCCACGAATCAAAGAAACCAGAATGATTAAAACGGAGGAGTTCCCCAAAGTGATTTTCATTTTTTCAGGGTACACCTATCTAGCTTCGAGTCTTATTTTTACAACTGTACGTAGATTATTTTACCTTTTAATCCAAGCGAGTATAACGATTTTATTTAAAGGATCTTTTAGGGATTCGTTTTAGGGTCCAAAAACATTTTTAACATTATCTAGTCCGGTTTGCCTGGCTGCAGAGCCTACAGTCACTGTTTTCCTGGTTTAGTTTTTATTCAGTGCGGATGTTCCACTAAAACAGCAAAATACAATATTTTACAGTGATGTACAATGCAATTTTCTAGGCCAGTTCGTTTGAGAATGGATTTAAACACCAATATGGAGATGTTTGGATCAAAAGAACCATTTAAAGCTGTTTATAGGGTAAGAAATTTAATCTGTTCTATCCGACTCAGTTTTACAGGCAACCTTTGGAGGAGAGAGTAAGCTCCATAAAAATGACGGGGGTCCTCGAAGTATTTTAAGTAAATTGATACCATTTAGCAACCTCGTGCCCAGGGCGCTTTTCCCTGGCCTCCAAAGCCAGGGAAAAGCACCCTGGGGACGAGGTTGACCATTTAAGTTTTTCAAATCTCAAATGACGGTCTTGGCCGCGGTTGTCACATTGCTAGTTTAGGGCCTATAGGTTTTTGGGAGCCAAAAATATGATGGGAGAACTATTTTAACTGATAAAAATCTTGGTTACACGAGGGCGACATTTAATTTTATATTTTCTCGCCTGTTCTTTAAAAATAGACATTACGGAAAGCTTTATTGTACTTTTTTTTTCACCACTAAATCTAGGACGTTTATTTCCGTTGAAGGAGGTAAAGCCCTCTCCTGATCGCTAAATGATTAAATTTCTAACATTTGATAACTTGTTTTCACCGTCATTCTCGCTAAAACTTGTAGTAGACCGACGACGGCTACCACATTTTCCCGCCAAAATGGCGTTGGTTCGCACCCGCGCACTACTTAGTATTGGGAAAATCTCGTTCCCGTAGTCGTCCTTGTCTTAGAATCTAAAGCTCTCTAATTTCGCTCTGCTCACCTGGAGCTGATACACCAGTTTGAATGTTTAACTCTTTTTTTCACACCGTTGCCCAATTAAGCAACAACTGAAGCATTTACCTAACCATTAAGTCTTTGATTATCTTACATTCATTTTATGGCTTTTCCTTATTAGGTTGGTGTCTCAGAAGATGGTAAATTGAATGGAATAGATCTAAACTATTACGGTGACTGCGGGTGCAGTTCTAACGATGCCACCATTTTGTATGCCAGGGGATGGATGGACAATGGTGAGGTCTATCTCTCTACACATCACCCAGGATACCTTGCAAGCTTAGTCGGAATCGTTGTGTCGCTTCCTAGATTTCCCAGCCTGCGTAGCAAGCGTTTCCGATTAACTAATTGCACGAAACGCTGGCTACACAGGTTATTGATGTCCCGTTTTGTTCCCCACAAAGTTAAAAGGCGCTTGTTCCTTGTACGTTTTCACATAACACCGTAGCTGAGAAAATGAGTTTTTTCGCGACTGCAGCCTTTGCAAAAGGGCTTAAGGGTTTATCTCCTGATTAGCTTAAATTCGTATCAACTATTAGTATTCCTAGTTGTTGAAATGCCCCGTCACACCTATGTTTTTCCAATTTCAGCTTATTTTTGTCCCAACTGGAACATTGTACCTCATGCTGTTCGCACCAACAAACCTTCAAACACATGGTGTCGCGCACCAGGTATGCTATAACCTTTTCTCAATTTGGGATCCATTTAACAAGGCCTATCGAACAACATGTAGCCGTGCAAGAGACAAAGAAAAACTGTGTAAGTGAAAAAAAAAAAGGCCTTGAAAAACGAATTTATGACAATTTGACTTTTATTCAACGTGCTGCAACAAAACCAGTAGGTCAAAGTAACAAATCCAATTGCAATTATTTCCTGGAAGTTTACACCTAGTGAGATTTATTACCTCGAACTGATTTGAAACTTTTATCATCTTAACAGCTGGAGATAATAAACTAGGACTTGTTTCGATTATACTGCAGTTTAATAAAGCTTTTTTTTTATATTTCGTCCAAGGCTCTAGCCAAGCGGTTTTTATTATGGAATCAATTATGGAACATGTTGCCAAAACTTTGAACAAGACACCAGAGGAAGTGAGGGAACTAAATTTGTACAAGAATGAACAAGTAAGTTTTAACTTTCTTCGATATAAGTTGAATTTTTTGAATTTGTGTGTTGAGTTGTTCATTTTTATTTCCAGTTTAGTCATCTAGGGCTTTATTCTCACAAACTCCTCAAGTAAAGTAAAAAACGATAAACACAACCTGAGCATATACCTACACCTTTGCCTTGTCTCTATGCCTCGTTATTCCTTTAAAGAAATGAATTGACCGGGAAGACCTGGAAAAACGCTTTACAGGTACTAGGCAGCCTCTACCTGAGCTTTGTAAAGCGATAACCCCAACCTCCTCTCACCACTCACCGTCCCCAAGGACGTTTAGGGAGCGATGAGAGTCGGGGGGCTCACGGTATTCGCAGGAGACGACGATGGCCCCTGGAGATGGCCCAAAGATATTTCCAGAGGACCCTTTGACAGTTACTGAAACATTTCATGATCAAATTCTGTTTTCTTTCCCTCCTCTTTCTGTTTCGTCCCGTTTAAGAAAGATAAAAATCTAATTTATTTATGTGTCAAAATAACACTTTTCACTTGTATTTTTTATTAGTTACTTACTACTAATAAAAAATTAACTTTCAAAAAAATCAATTAAAGGATGTTGTGGGAATTACTCATCACAGTTTGTCAAAACCTTTACAGGTAACGCAGACGGGACAAAAGCTTAAGGACTGTAACATATCTAGTCTATGGAATGGTAATATTTGTTTATTAAATATTTTTGGATTGCATTGCGCGTTAATCATTTTCATTTACTCTGACTGGCGTGTCGCTACGGTTTTACAAACAAAGAATCGAAATCTGCCGATCCAAGCAATTGCAACCTTACTTGGACATACTTATGACATGGCACCTAGGTTGAAATCGCCGTTTACCACATCAAAATCACTTCCATTGCACTTTAGAGACAACCAATCATTCTCAAGCATCACTCACAACAACTAATTTGGTATGGTTCCGCTTTTTCTTTTTTTTTTTTTAGACCTCATGCTATCAAGTGACTTCATGAAGAGAAAAGAGGCAATTAACACCTTTAACAAGGTGAGGATGAGTTGGTTTCTGCGCCTCATCCTCTTGATCTTTCTAGGACCTGATAACTAAACTGCACTAAACCTCTTCTCGTTTTCAATATTTTTGCCCCTGCTAGAAAATATAGAGGAGCCGTCTAGTAGAGACCTTTTTCCATTTGGTCTACAAAAACTTAGCTACAAAGTTAGTTGAATCCGTAAAAAGCTGATTCCCTTTTAATTCATTGTTTTCATCTACACTGAATTTGAAAAGCCTTATTGCAATTGAAAAATAAACAATAGGTTTCTATACAAAAACAGAATGATGTGTTAAGTCGATTAGCCTTTTTTTAGAACAATCGCTGGCGGAAGCGTGGAATCAGTGTTGTTCCTCTAAAGTATGGAGTGCGGTGGGATGGTAGGAGGCATACTGCTTTGGTGTCAATATATCATACAGATGGCACCGTCGCTATTGCTCATGGAGGAATTGATATTGGGCAAGGAATTAACACCAAGGTATTATTAATAAAGCGTTAAAAGAAACCTAGGCGCTCAAAGTCTTTCCTAGTGATCGTTGTCGCAAACGAGGGCTGTGACTGCTTTTATGGCTGAATCATTGTTTCCATATGACTGTTAAAATCGCAGTCACCGAACATTCTTTTAACGATCGCGGCGATCATATGTGGAAACCACCCATTCTATACAATCAAGGCAGGCTTCCTACCCAGGGGTGAGAGCTGGGGAAAGCGACTCCCATATGAATGCAAAATTGGAGTTAAACCTCTTTAGGAGACCAATCGTGGTGTGACTCAGGCTTTCTTTAGCCTCAAAGGAGACTGTACTAAAACAGACAACTAAGGAAGATATATAGATATTGTCATTGTGCTGAAGACGTTGAAATCAAATGCTGCCTTCAACACAGAATGACAGTGGTTCATTTGTTTTATGTAGATAATTCTTTACGTACAGCCCTAAGCGATACCTCAATGGGTAAAAACATTGGCTTTCAGTCTTGAACATTCTAATCGAGACCGAAAACTGCAAATAAAATCACATCCCTAAGCGAGTAGACGAGAAACCCCTTCTTTTTCATATGAGGGTCCCCCGGGCTTAATGCTTTATCCACATTATCTGATAGAGGTATAATAGGAGGTGCCCATTAGATACAAATACATGCATATATCATACCGTAAGATTCTGCAAGACAAATTAAAGAGAGTCCACTACCTTGCAGTAAAGGTGAATTCAAGGGCTTACTTGAGTAAATTGAAGTAATTCTTAATGGATTAAACTGATAAATAATGACTTTCTCCAAATTGCACCTGCTTTAAACTTTTATCTTAGAATTTTCGAACTAAACTAACGAATTTTCTCAAGCATTTAGTAATGTTTTTTGCCTCACTATAGTCAAAGCATTTTAAAATATATAGTAAAGACCTGTCCAGAATTACCCCTTAGTGCTACCTAATGGATGAGAAATTTTCATTCGCCTTCTTTAAAACACCAAACTATTTCCCCGGCCCATGTATATCTTCTTTTTTGGCATCCTGGCTGTCATTATTCTGATTATTTCAGTAATACATTGGAATTGGCCCATTATTACGTAAATTAAATAAATGAAAGGTATATCTTTTAGGTTGCTCAGGTTGCAGCGCACCAGCTGAAGTGCCCACTGGAAATGATTGTCGTCAAACCAACCACAGCATTTACCAATCCAAACAGTACGTGACAAACCTGTAATGTTACCTTTGACTGATATCTTTCGACTTTACTCGGAACATTTGCCCCTGCCAGATAGGATTAATATCCCCTGTTAAAACTGTACAACAAAACCGAACATCATTTTGTACAACAATAAAAAGGAAATAGCTGCTGAAGAATTGCTGTTGTTTCACAGCATTTGATCCTGTCCAAACTATCGGATTTTTTGCATCACAAACATACCTCACCACTGCCCCGCTTCCAAACGATGTTCATTGCATGATGGCGACTTATCATGTAACATCCATATCATATCTGGTATATGGTCACGCCCAATTTAATTTTTTGCAGATTCAAGCACGGCTGCAAGCTCAACAAGTGAGATGTGTTGTAAGGTTTGTACAGCTACCAGTCCAATTCGTAATCTCATTCATAAAACCTGCCTTAAAAAGTAAAAGAGCCAAAAGTTCTTTTACATTGCGACAGCTTGAATCGGCCACGAACACTTGGAAGAAGATTATCCAATCACTACGTTTTAAGAAAACAGAAGATTCTGAGTTTTTTTGCCAGTGGACCAAAAGCATTCATAAATTTGAGGGCTTTTTCCTGAGAGGTCAGGTATGTTCAAACGATTTTAAAGGTTTCACAGTTGCATAGTCTAACCTTGTCTTTTATTAGTCCGTTTACAAAAGAACTTGAAAATCTTTTGTTTCTGAAAGCGTTGTGATTGGATAATCTAAATGCTAATACTAATTATAAAATGAATGCATAATAAAAACTATACCATAAACACTGGAGAACTCAATTTCAATCAAATATTATTAATTCGGACAGGGGCATAGCCATCACATGGACCGGTAGGCCCAGGCCTACAAATGTTTGGTTTTATCACTGTACCGTTTGCCAGTACCAAGTTATGAGTTGTTGAGGCGAGCTAAAACGCTTAAGAGCTCAAGAGAGCTCAAGAGCTTTAGGATATGTGGAAATGAAACTAGTCGAAAAGCTGGCTACGCCCCTGATGACTTCAATAAACTAACGAAAACCTTCCCAAACCGAACTCCTGGAGCTGGGACTGGTAGTTGTCAAGTCAAGTGGAAAGTCGTCCGTCATTCAAAGAATTGACTGTAGTATTGGTGCTATTCACCATTTTTTCCCAAACAAATGTACCGTTCAGCCCTTCATCTCCTAACGCCACGAAAAATCTATGCCTAGGCCTGTTACCGTATAAATAACTAACTTATTATATGGCACCGTCCAATAGTCATAAAATATTTTTTTTAGGCGGTAATGGAATGCTGCGACGTCTTAAATATAGTGATTGATCCAATCAGAAAAACCATGCCATCCGGCGCGTCCTGGCCTGAACTGATTGAAAGGTGCTATGATAATGGAGTGCATTTATCAGCCACGAGTATGTAAGTTTTATACCACACCATATTTGCTTTCACTGAGGTTAAACATTGCATTATTTATCTTTCTTGAGAAACACTCATTCCTGGGGTTTGAACTGAATGTTGCATAGTTTATGTTTCGTGTTGTCCTTAGTACTGTTGTTGTTCATGGTATTGATGAAAATTGAATTGATCATGAAAAAATGATCATTTTACAAGGAAACGAAACCAGGAAACGTAAGATCACCATTCACATTTAATCCACCCATTGCAGTCCAGTATGTCCGACCAACAAATGACCCACTTTTACTTGCCCTAGCCCCCTTGAGCGCGTTTAGCTAATCAAGAGGCAGAAAGTCTGGACTTTAACTTCAAAAGGTCATACGGGCTAGACTCCTATTGGGAGAAACTGAGATATTTGTTCCCAATACTTCTGTGTTACTGACTGAGAAAAACATTTTTCTTGAATCCTATGATAATCGTCAGGTCAACAAAGTACGTAAGACCAATAAAACCATACGGAGAGTTATCTTTTTTTGCCCTTTCTTAGGTACCAAGATCCAACACCTCTAAGTGACACATATACATACAACACTTATGGCTTGACTTGCACTGAAGTTGAGGTTGATGTACTGACAGGAGAAAGAGAAATCTTGCGCACTGATATACTGAATGACTGCGGAGAAAGGTAACATCAAAAAAAGACTTTCAATTGCACGTGTCCATATTGTGGTGGACAGATGCCTTTGAATCACAAAGGTGTGCTTTGCGAGTCGAAATGTTTCCAGCTTGAAAATCAACATTCAAACATTATGTTAAAATCAAAACTGGTCAATTAATGAGTGTTTGAGCCTAGAAACAAATGTTTGCTAAAGGGTTGTTAGTCTTGTAGAGCGTTTTCAGTCAACAAAAAGCCTCCCACAGAACACCAACTATTGCCCCCATTGTTTTGGGACACTAAAAGGCAGGAAGTGACGTCATGTGAAAACGCTCTGTTGATGCAAATACGTGAAACTTCTATCAAAAGTAGTTGGTGTTCAACACGGCCTCTTTAATTTAAACTAAAATGATGTAATGCTGTAATGATATGCACAGCAAGAACCCTGTTCTGGACATTGGTCAGGTGGAGGGTGCCTTCATGATGGGAGTTGGTCAGTGGCTGACAGAGAAATTCATCTACGATCCTCAGACAGGGAGAAACTTAAGTAATGGAACTTGGGTAAGTGTTTGCAATAGATGAAGCTCTGACTCGCTTCTTAAGCCTGTGGTGATTCTTGAACATGGCAAAGGTGCCAAATATCTTTAACATTATTGCAGTTGATTTTTGTTGGTTGTGCCAACATCAAAGAGTTCAGTGGTGGCGCAAGAGTTCAGTGCGACACAAGAAAATATCAGGGGTACGCTATTACATTGGGGCGATCAATCTAGGTGGCTTGTGATATCATATCTTTTAACCAAGTTGCACAGTGTATCTTCAGTTATTTGGACAACAGACCCCAATCAACAGTGTCAATAGTCGACGAAGTTGATGGATAGATTGGCAGAAACAGATTGACAGTGGAAATGCAAAGAAGACTAGGTTAAGGAATGGCAATCCCGTCTGAAATTCATGGTTTGCGAAACACTTTGAATGTTTTTTTTTTTGCACGCTTCATTTGAATCTCAAGTTATCCGCGCCCCCTCGCTTTCGTCTTCCTGTTGTTATAGCTTAGCAGTTAAGTCGTTAGAGTATTTTCCAATAGTGCCCGGGTATGACTTTCACACACGAGTTAATAAATCATAAACTTCTTGAAAACTAATAATAACCAAATGTCTTTTACTTGTAACTTACTGCAGCTAACTGCTCACCTATGTTTCAAACTGCTAACCCTTGTAAGGAAATCCAGGACAGTCTTGGACTCCACGGTGTTGATTCAGGATTCTTGATTTTCAGTTTTTGCCAGAGTAACTTGGATTCCGGATTCCTTGAGCTGTATTCCGGACTGCAAGGCCAAGGATTCCGGATTCCACTTGAAAATTCTCCTGGATTTGGGATTCCAGAATCGAGATTCCCTTACAGGGGGCGAAAAATGGACTTCTGACTTCTTTTCTGTATTATATTAGGACTACAAGCCTCCATGTTCAAAGGACATTCCAATTGACTTCAGAGTATCACTACTGAAGAATGCTCCAAATCCACTTAGCATCATCAGATCCAAGAGTAAGCAAATCAACTTATTAACTGCATGTAAGGAATGACCCTAGTCGTGATTATAAAAAAAAATTCCGTATTTATTTTGTAAATTTTCCAGAATCCTAAAGGTCAAATGCTGCAATATGATCAATATTAATTTATGATCAAGTAAAGTGTCTTAAAATGTATTTTATGTCTTATGTTTTATCAGCTTCAGGGGAACCTGCACAATGCATGGCCTGCTCGTGTTTGTTTGCTGTAAAACACGCTGTGGAAGAAGCACGAGCCGAAGTCGGCAAAGGAGAAGAATATTTTGTCATGAGTGAGTAACGTTATCATAAACTTTTTACTATGACTGAAAAATATTTCTCCGTCTCCTTTGGTCGATTTGAGTCATTTTTTTATTGCGTATCATGTCGAGCTCTCACTGCTTGGTCAACAGACCCTTGTCCGGCGGATACTCATTTTATCTCTTTTTAGTTCACTTTTTATATCAAGGATAAAATTTCAACCACCACGTTTTCACCAGCACTTTTTTTCTGGTTATTTTAGATGGGCCCAGCACGGTAGAGGATACACAGTTGGCATGTCTTGTGGATCTCAGCCACTTCACCCTGTGAGCAAAAAGACTCGTAGGGTAGGCCGGGGGAGCGTATGGCAAAGAACTCTCAAGGTCTCCAAGGAGTTACGGCCGAACTTGAATGTATCAGAGTCGAGAGAATAAGCTCTTGTCAATGGTCGTTGAATGTTCGAGTCTAAAAGAAACCCAGAATTTGAAGGATTATAAAATACATTTACCTGTCAGCAGAGGAATCTTTTCCCTGGTATTCGGCAGCGGGACTCTTTTCCTCCCATGCCGCCTCTGTGGGGAAAACCAAACTGAGCGCCTTTCTGGATTAATTGAAGATAACAGCTTCAAAAGATTGGTAGCCTACGAGGACGATCTCTGGAGAACTCCAGGGGCGACGGATAATGTTTTTTCAGTCGATCAAGAGATGTTTTGACACACAGTGACTGACCAGAGTTCTTATGATAACAACAATAACGGCGAAACATTTGATTATCTACATATCTATATATATATTTGTTCAGTATACATACTTACTTCTACTTACTAGTATTTCAATTTCCCGAGGGGGAAAATCTCTATCCTATAGGCTCGTTGGATTCTCGGAGATTTCCCCCCCACAGTCACTTTTCCAGCTGTTTACTGATTTCAAATTTAATGTTATTTATCTATTTATAATGTTTTTACTTCTACTTTCTGTAATTTATTTTGTGTGGCAAAATAAAAACGCCGACCACTTTAACATCAAAGTCAATCCTCCAATAACCGAAAGCGTTGGGCGAATGGCGATTACGGCAAACGGCATATTGAAGTTGAAAATTTCTCAAAATAGAAAATGAGCAGATAAAAACTACCCAAAACAGTTGTTGTACCCGGTGGAGCTACTAACTTTGGGGTAGACGCAATGAACAGTAAAGGCATACAATTCACGTCTGTCGTTTGTAGTAGAAAAAAGGTTAAGGCGCATACGAGCCAAAGGCCCTAACGGCGGAGCTTATCCCCGTGTCCTTAATATGAAGCATGCCCAGGAGTATTGCTACTCCTCCCTGGAAGGGATGCTAGTCCATCGCGGGGCTACCCCCCAGGAGTATCTCGCCGGTACTTACGCCTGACTGAAGAGAGACAAAGTGGAGTAAAGTTCCTCGTCTATTAAAGGAAACAGCTCGAAGGGCGAGGTTTGAACCCCAGACCTCCAGCATCCGGAGTTTGAGGTGTTAACCGCTCGACCACACACTCCTCCAAATCCTACGTCTAAATCCCTCTAATAATTAGAAATTATTCGACAGCTGACCCCATGCAACTACACGACGCTCCTGTTCAAACCTAACCTGCGATCAGGCTTTTTTGGGTTTATCTCAGGTAAGTTCAAACCATGAGTGAAGGGGAATAGCCCAGCATGCAGAGGACCCGTCTTAATATTAATTTATACGGAAATTGATATTTACTTAAACTCTTGGACTAAATTTCTACTTAATAACTGTCAACCATCAAAATTGGAACAAAAAAATTATCGTCAACCGTCAAAGCTACAACCCTCCACCCCCTTACGGGAGAGAAAAAAATTGTAAGACGAAACAATCGATCGAGGATGGAGGAATCGTTCGATATGAAAAGCTTAGCGCTAATCCGATTAACAATAGGCTGATGTAGCAACAGAACGGGAACGTTCGCTGACGACAGGAAAGCGCGCGGAAACGACTTATTTTAAAAATAAACGAAACTCCCAAATTTGCTGCTCTGGCATTGGTCAAGACAGTTGTTTGACTTGCGCGCGCCTTGTCAACTGACGTTTACGTTCTGCAGCTAAATCAGCCTACTAATTCTAAAGAAAAATTGTCAAGAGAGACTGAACAATACTGACCCCAACACCTCTAGCCCACATTACAATAGATCTGATAGCTTATTGAAACAACAAATGCTCTGCTGCTGACCATTAGTATCACAGCGCAAGAGCCAGTGCGCGCGCAAAAGGAATTAACAAGTCAAGGTAATTGTTTATGACATCACTAAATTTTAAAACCTCAATTTTGGAAGAAGAAAAACGTGATAGAAATTTGGCGGAAGATTATATAGAGCGGTGAAGTGACTTTTTTCTACGAAAAGATTTTTTAGTGCATTTAAAAGAACAATTCGTGCACAAAGGATGGCACAGATGTATGTTTATACCTATGAGCAACTTTTGGCGATTGTAAACCAGCAAGCAGTAACCATAGCTCAACAAGTTGCCACAATCAACAACCTGCGGACTGAAAGAGATTGGTTGGACGAAGACAATCAACTTCAAAGAGAAGAAGTGGAAAAAGCTACAAAGAAAATTACAGATCAAGAAAAAAATGCAAAGTTAAAAGAAAATAAATTAAAGAAAGAGATACTACAAGCAGAACAATCACAACAGAAAATCAAGCAGAAGCATCAGAACGCTGTAAGAGAACTCAATGATCTCAAATCAAGAAACATGAAGATAAAATCCCACTGTACCTCTCTTTTGGATAAGCTAGATAAGGGCACCAAGGAGCTTCAGCAGAAGCAAGAAGAACTTGAACGGATAAAGCAGGAACTCGATTTAGGCTACAGCCTGGGCGAGTCGATGTATCAGCAGCTCAGATATTATTACTCTGGGTACTTCGACCTGCTAAAGTACTTCCAGCGGCCCAGGCCACCGACTGGAGGAGCGACCATCACAGAGCTCGACATTATGCCTCACAGTTATAGCGTAACACAGGAAGTGCGGATGTCACCAAAACCAAACTCGGAAACCGTTATAGTACCTGCACCCGTGAACACGGTGAAGAAAACGGAAACGGATTACCGTACAGCTCTGGTAGCGCAGAATGTCATCCAGTCATTAAGAAGGAACACCATCTGTCCCCAAACAGCTTACATCCTGAGCCATGCTCCCTCTCGTGACCTAAACCCAATCGAGTTGCTGCTGTTTAATAATAACAACTGCAGCTTCATCTTTGAAGCCCCTGAGGTTCGTCGGTTATTAGCTCTTGAAAATGAAGTGCCCACGAGACCTGGCAACCACCAACAGCTGCTTGCCATTTGTCCACCCGAGTGGGCAAATGCAGCAATCAAAATCCCTAGAGCTATAAAAGCAGCCAATCGTGCACCTCGGATACGGAAGAATACCACGCTCAGCAACATCACCTCTTGCAACAGGACGTGTGGATCTTCCCCTAAGAAAACCAAAGAGGAACACGAGAGTGGAAGTGAACCACGCAAAGTTGGACACCGCCAGCCGACCACAGCCTTTTCCGAGCATCGGCTCGACGCTAACAACCTTTTCACCGATGGTGAAAAGGAATTTTTAACTCGTAAAGATGAAAGGAGAGCAAATGAAGAGAAAAAACGAAAGGCTTTGGTAAGTTGGCTCAAAAACTACAAATACTCTGCGAAATTGAATTGGCCTAAAATGGTTTCAGTAGTTCAACTTATGAAAAAAATCCTTGGAGTGTGATAATAATACCCTGGCCTGACGACTATAAATGCCAGCAGTTTACTAATCAGTCAGTAACGGGTGGGCAGTGGCGGATCCAGACCTAATCTGGGGGCGGGGGGGAGGAGCGGTCATCCAGACCCTGAGATAAGGGGGGCGGTCTCAAAATAATTTTTTTCGGTCCTTCAGGCCTCAGTTTGGTCTAAAAATAAGGTGGGGATCCGGGCCTCCCGTGTCCCTACCCCCTCGATCCGCAAATGGTGGGGACAGGTTTGTTGAACAGAAATTCGTGTCCTCTCTCAACCTTCACAAAACAACTTGGTCCTTTAAGTGATATTCAGATGTAAGCAAGTTTTTTTTATCTTGTAAATGAGGTTTTGTTTTCGGTAGAGGCGACTCATGTCCAGTCTCTTAATAATCCGCCATGTCAAGTCATGGCCACTCTGCTGTAAGACAAAGACTTCGTGACTTCGTGACTAAATATGGCAGGTGTGGTAAATCAGTAAAACCCTATGTTCTCGGACTAATTATAAAAAGCGACTAATCAGTGTGGGGGGAGCTCTTCGTCGTTCTTGAAGATAGCGTTTTAACTGCGTATTTTCGTACTAAACATCTCCTCTGGTTATATACTTTACCTTTGCAGAAAAGAAGAGTGATCAAATTTTTTTCCTGGGTAGCACGCCACTGTTGTTGCAGGCCTAAAACAAAGGAGTGAATTCTAAAACCTATTCAATAAGTTTCATTTTTTTTATATATTTTATTATAGTGATTGACTGAGAATTTTATAAAGGCTGGTTTTCATCTGGCGACGGAGTCGGAGTCGGAGTCGTAATCAGAAGCGTAGAGCTTATAATCTACTGAAAACAGCGTTTCCATTCCGCTTACGACTCCGTCGCTTACGTTCCGCTTATGATCTAGCAAAAACCAGTTTGTCAGAGTAGGAAGCAGAAGCAAAAAAGAAAATATAAAAATAAACTAATTGCAATGCGTGGGAAAGTACATTGTGATTGGTTTATCCTTCCGCCTCTGCTTCCGAATCCGATCACTAGATCATAAGGGGAACCTAAAGGACGGAGTGGTAAACGGAGAAAAAATGGAAATGTTCTGATTCTTCTAAATCCGATTTCGTCGCGCTAACGACTCCGATGTTAGATTTTCACAAGGTCATAAGCGCTTTTACGACTCCGCTTTAAATAGGACTCCGACTCCGGCTCCGTCGCTAGCGAAAACCAGCCTTTTTTAGGAAACAAAAAAAACAAAAATTAAAAGAAGCAAATAATGGTAGAATTGAAAAAAAAAAATTGTTCACTAGCTTTTTCCTTTTGGCATTTTCTTATTTTTCAAAATATTGTCCTTCTCTCCGACAAAACAATGGAGTCAAATTTAGACAAACTGTCACTCCAACTGTTGCTAAAGTATTTCAACTGCTTGCAATGGCCTTGCAATGGACAAAGGAAAATACTGACGCAGGGCACTCTGGGAGCGGACCCTTTGGCTTGTAATGGGCAGGACGTATTTTGGTAAGGCTACAAATGGTTGCTGTTAGTTGCTGTTATCACAGACTTGCACAACTTTTTCTTCTATAAGGGTCTTTAAAAGCTAGATAAACCCATCAGTAATAATGCTGATCCACCTTCCTGGTGAATCCCTTTGGAGAACTGTCCTGAGCGCGGTTTTTTAGGCAACAAATTTATTCAAGCATTTTAGACTTGCCATGACATTTGCACCGGCAGTTTGCTATTGGGGATAATTAGAAGAATAAGACGATTTTCATCTTTATCCCCAAGTGGCAAACTTCCTGTGCGAATTGATGGCAACTTTCGGGGCGTTGCTTGGGTTGATTTTTGCTGGGTATGTATCGCTGGCCTCTCAGAACTGTCGGTTGTGTAGCGCGCGTAGCATGGCGGTTTTCTCGGACTCACTAGTTATCACTGCCCCCACCTTGGCGCCCGACCAAAACCCCCTGCTTAGAAGTCGCGAAACCAGTGGTAACATTGCCAAATGTCGGTTGTTTTCTCAGGCTTTTTAGAAGTGTATTTATAATATACCGCATCAAATGTTTGACCTTCTTCCCGTAGCATACAGTTTTACGAAACCCTACATAGCTACCTTTTTTCACCCATTTAATGCAAAACGACGTGAAAAAACCTTTTTGTTTTTCTTCCACGCCTACCAAGTAGCCAGCTGTTTTTCAATTCGTTCGCTCAAAAATTAATTACTTATCCCTCTCTTTTTTTATCATTACCTTTTCAGCTTAGCAGTATTGCTGGAAATTTAATGTTGCTTCACGATCACCCTGGCTTTCAGTCAGACATCGCTCTTCTTCTTGAAACCATTGGAGCCTCACTGATCGTTGGTAAGACTTCATGTTACACGAGACGTTGTTCATGGTATTTAGTTAGGGCCTGTTTAAATGGAGGTGTGGTACTCCAGGTAGGTAACCCGTCTGTCTATATAATCTCTCATTTTAATTTGATCGCCTTTACATGATAGGTGGGGTGACAATCTGAAAAATTACATGCACAGGCCGGTTATCCCGCCTAAGCGGGTTACCTCACCTACCTCGGGTACCTACCTCCATGTAAACAGGCCCTTATAACTAGGCAATTAACATGGCTTTGTTTCTTTCTTTAGGTGACAGCTATTCAAGCACAGAAGCTGAATATACTCTGTCAGCGTTCAACAACTTGGACGTGACTGGCAAGGTTCGATTGTCTTCCAAGTTGTTAAAGATGTAGCTTCCATACCTACTGTCGAAATTTTAAATCTCCTTAGTTTAACTAAAAATTGTGTTCGTGTTTCAGGTTATCTTAGCAGTTTTGTTGTCCGTGTATACGAAGGACTGTGTCATGCGTTCCTACAAAGTTATGCCAAGAGCTCAGGTACCACAATTTTTAAGACCCGTTGTCCCTGAAGGCATTCTACGCAATACTTAGTTTTAATTACTGTGGAAAATACGCGTGGAGTTAATATCCGCTCTTTAGTGTTCATGTGTGAGTCCTCTCTGGAGCTTAATGACTGTACATAAGCTCTGAAGTGCCCTCGGCTAGCCAATCAAAGCACAGGATTTGCATTATCTTTCTCCCTGTCTAACAGTGACGGTTTATACCCTAGAAATGGGCCTGAGCTTAGATTGAACTGGTCGCACAAGCAAAGCTCGGGCCAATTTGACTGAACAAGAAGTCTTGGAAGAAAACTTAAATACCAAACCCTTTTAATTAACTCTCTTGTCGTTATTTCTAGTTTTCATGACGGAAATCTAATATCCAAGACAAATACATGTTCAACATTTGTGTTATTCCCTGAGAAACAGCAGGTCTGGGGCTTTGCTTTGTGTTCATAGTCCATGATGGGAGCCTAGTTCCCGTCCATCCAAAACATTTATAAAATCAAAGCCACAAGAGTACAAAGCCATCAGTAACCATGGACGCTGGTTGATTACACTTTTGTCTAGGTCCACAAGCTTGCCAAAACACATGGCTGATAACTTCCACATAAGAAGTACCCTATGGAGAACAAGTTTCTGTTGATTGAGTTTTGTTAATTTCTGAATTTTTAGAATGCCCATGCCTATGTGAATGCGGGATTGATTGTTCAGGTGGACTCTTCGACCATGACTGTAAAGCTTGCCAGCCTTGTCTTAGGTGGTATAGGGCAATATCCAGTGAGTACATCTCCTAAGTCTCTCATTTATATAGATATCTCTGAATACATACACCGTGCATAAACATGAATATAGACTGCAAAACAGTCCGTGTTTTTGCGTATTCAAGTACGCGCGGGCAGTCAAACAAAAGGTCTGGAACGAGGCTGAAAACAGAGAGTGAGACTAATAATAACAATCTTTTAATAGGATGCTCCATCACAAGAGTGGTTTACATAGAGGTCCTAATTACGAGATGTATATTATATAATACAATTAAAATATAAAAAGGTTAAGCTAAAATCGATATATATGATACAAAAAAAAAAAAAAAAAAAAAAAAAAAAAAAAAAGCTAAAATCGAGTTACAGAAATAATTAAAACATACACACTACAAGTACTCAATTATAAAAAGCAGAAAAAAGACACTTCTTAAAAATTGGAAAACTTGCTGAGTTTCTTACAGTTCTCTCTAATTCATTAAAGTCTTTGAAACAGTGGTACCGCGAACGTTGTTTTCCCCAATTATATTTAATTTTGGGGAGCTTGATAGTATCGTTATTGCGCGTATTGTAGGAATGTATATCACTCTTTCTTACAATGTCCAAAGAATGATTAAGTTGGCCATTAATACACTTGTATGCATATATACATCGATGACATTTCCTACGTTCTTCAAGATTCAGCCATCTCAAGACAATCAATGCATCGGTGGATGAGGAGTGAGGTGATCTATCTAATATCAACTTAGCTGCTTTGTTTTGGAGAATTTGCAATTCCTTCATAAGTGAGACATTGTCCTTGTCACCCCAGACTAAATCAGTATAATCAAAATAGGTAGCACTAAGCTATTATAAAAAAAGTAACCGGGCATCATAAGGTAAATAATACTTAATCCTACGTAGAAGACCAAGGTTTTTATTAACCTTACATGAAATATACTCAATATGGTCGGACCATGTGAAAGTTGAAGACAACATAACTCCCAAATATTTAAAACTACTTACAGAATTTATATCAGTGTCAAAAATAGATAACGTGAAAGAGGAAATACCAACAAGTTTCCTATTACTGCCTATAATCATGGATTTCGTCTTAGTAAGATTTAAAGTTAACTTATTTCCATGTAACCACTGGGCAACTTTCAAGAGATCATCATTCAGTGCCTCTTCTAACAGGTGTGGCTCTTTAGCAAAGTAGTACAGGACCGTGTCATCAGCATACAAAGTCACTTCGCAATTCTTTATAACCAGCGGAAGGTCATTAATATAAACCAAGAAGAGACTGGGGAGAGACTGGGGAGAGACTGGGGAGAGACTGGGAAGAGACTGGGGAGAGACGCTAAAAATACGGACTGTCCGATTTGCATACGTCATTTTCGTTCGAATTACCCGCTTCTCTCAGCCACGGGCAATCCGCATTGGCTAAATTTCAATGCAACCTGTCTCTTGTCTCGCACACCCTACGGGCGTGTGTGGCTCGCGCGCTTCGCGCGCCTAAGACTCTTACGGCACGCTTTACCGATTTCTTTACTGATTTTGAAAAAAAAAACCGACTGTTTTTCAGTCTAATATGAATAGAACTCCTTGAGGATTCTAATTGGATGATCATATTTCTTTTAAAGGAATTGTTGCTCTATTTTTTTCTTTGCTGAAGTTAGGAGTGTGCGGCTTAAGGCTTATTTTACTGTTTTACACTTTTACTAAAAGTAATACCAGTTACTTGCATTAGTTATTTCACAATGCTTTCTTACTTTGTTTACTACAGTATCACGCCAAGAACACGGAGACAGACGAGGCCACTCTCGAAGGTGATGATACTCGAAATGTAAACTAATATCAATTGAAAGGATTCATTACTCAGAAACACTGTTCTCTCTATAATCTATACTAAAGTTAGTTTCATATCGAATGTATTCACAGTTAAAACAAGACAAATGAGGCGTTTACAGATCAGTTTTGAGTCAGGACATTTACCACGACCACGTTCCTCGACAGAAGTTTAACCCAGGATTAAGGTAAATTTTCAGCGACTTTTTTTGTCTAAAAGCATGTAACTCGAGCTCGTAAGATATTGTTGAACCTTTACTCCAAGATACAGTTATGGTAACACAAAATGCCTCTCTAAACATTACTATAGGATGGCATTTACATGAACGGACAAATATTTCAGGAACCGGGCCTAGATTCGTATACCACATTGCTTGACTAATAGATAAAAAGGATTCCATGGCAAGATATCTAAACGCTTGCTTTGATGTTTCCAGATGTCTTGACTTCTTTAGCTAAAGAAATCAGTCCTAATTCTTCCCCTCTTGGTCCAAGCGTAGAATACCGAAAATCAGTGGCACTTAGCTTGTTTTACAAGGTGAGTTATAAGTCGGCTTGAAAACACTGACAAGGCGGTATTTGTGATAAGTAGTATTGGATTTCGCTTAAAAATGAAAACTTGCTGCTAATTTTGGTGAGCAGACTTGAAATAGTCCTTTGTCGTTTTGCTTGAAACCAACTCTTTTTTTTTCCAGATTCCACTGAGGCATTTCATTTAAATTCCATTTTGAAATTTGAGCTGCATTCATTGTTGTCTAGGAGCGTGGCGAAAAATTTTCAATGAGGTGAGAGGAGGGGTATACTGTGTCACACCCAGAGTAGTATAGTGGGAACCGATTAGATCACTTTTTTGCGCGCGAAATCTCATTTATTTGGGCATAAATGCATTAGCGCCATCGTAGCCTTTTGTATTTATCTCTGAAGAAAAATTCTTCATCGGAGCTTATGTTCTCCTACCTGCACACAATTAAAGAGTTTCCTACGTGAAAGAGGGGTCTAACCAGTTCATGCCATCCTCGGTACGTACCAACGAAGTCCATACTGTATTTTACTTTAGGTGACATTTTTTCGGATAAGCAGAGGGATTGAGGAGAGTTACAATCCGTAAAAATAGCTGTATAGATGAGTCACGTGGCGAGAAGGACCAACTATGTTGTCTGTATAAACCAATTTTTAGAACGGCTGATGAAATACGACAAAATTTTTAACAAAGAAAGCTTTCAAATGATGGTTTTTGGCAAGCAGTTTGAATAGAAGTCGGCCGAGGCAACGACAGTTAATTGTACAATCTTAGCGTGGATCTTGGTATATAAATTTTCTAGCGTTTCGCAGAAAAACGAAAAGCGATCCCGGGTATAATAATAATTATTATTATTATTCCTAGCTGTTGAAATGCCTCGTCACACCTATGTTTTTTCAATTTCAGTTTATTTTTGCCCCAACTGGAACACTGTGCCTCATGCTGTTCGCACCAACAAACCTTCAAACAAGTGGTGTCGCGCACCAGGTATGCTATAACCTTTTCTCAATTTGGGATCCGTTTAACAAGGCCTATCGAACAACATGTAGCCGTGCAAGAGACAAAGAAAAGCTGTCTAAGTGAAAAAAAAAGCCTTGGAAAACGAATTTATGACAATTTGACTTTTATTCAACGTGCTGCAACAAAATCAGTAGGCCAAAGTAACAAATCCAATTGCAATTATTTCCTGGAAGTTTACACTTAGTAAGATTTATTACCTTGAACTGATTTGACACTTTTATCATCTTTACAGCTGGAGAAAACAAACTAGGACTTGTTTCGATTATATTGCAATTTAATAAAACTTTTTTTTACATTTCGTCCAAGGCTCTTACCAAGCGGTTTTTATTATGGAATCAATTATGGAACATGTTGCCAAAACTTTGAACAAGACACCAGAGGAAGTGAGGGAACTAAATTTGTATAAGAATGGACAAGTAAGTTTTAACTTTCTTCATTATAACTTGAATTTTTTGAATTTGTGTGTTGAGTTGTTAATTTTTATTTCTAGTTTAGTCATCTAGGGCTTTATTCTCACAAACTCCCTGAGTAAAGTAAAAAACGATAAACACAACCTGAACATGCCTACACCTTTGCCTAGTCCCGAGGCCTCATTATTCCGTTACCGAAGTGAATTGACCGTAAAGGTCTGGGAAAACGCTGTACAGGTACTAGGCAACCTCCGCCTGAGCTTTGTAAAGCGATAACCTTAGCCTGCGAATTCCAACCACCTATCACCACTCACCGTCCCCAAGGACGTTTAGGGAGCGATAGGAGTCGGGGGGCTGTATTCGCAGGAGACGACGATGGCCCCTGGCGATGGCCCAAATGTATTTCCAGAGGACCCTTTAGCTATTTGACAGTTACTGAATCATTTCATGATCAAAATTCTGTTTTCTTTCCGTCCTCTTTCTGTTTCGTCCCGTTTAAGAAAGATAGAAATCTAATTATTTTATTAATGTGTCAAAATAATACTTTTCACTTGTATTTTTTATTAGTTACTTACTACTAATAAAAAATTAACTTTCATAAAAGTCAGTTAAAGGATGTTGTGGGAATTACTCATCACAGTTTGTCAAAACCTTTACAGGTAACGCAGTCTGGACAAAAACTTAAGGACTGTAACATATCTAGTCTATGGAATGTTAATATTTGTTTATTAAATATTTTTGGATTGCATTGTGCGTTAATCATTTTCATTTACTCTGACTGGCGTGTCGCTATGATTTTACAAAGATAGAATCGAAATCTGCTGATGGAAAGCAATTGCAACCTTACTAGCAAACGAAAAATGGCTTGCTCTGGTGATGTCGACTGCCGCACAAGTTGCCGAAACGTCAGTCACTGTCAACAGCAGTCCTATCCAGGACTATACTCACATGAACGATCATGCTGGAAGTATATGTGACATGGCACTTAGGTTGAAATCGCCGTTTACCACTTTAAAATCACTTCCATTGTACTTTAGAGGCAACCAATCATTGTCAAGTATCACTCCCAACAACTAATGTGGTATGGTTCCGCTTTTTCTTGTTTTTCTAGACCTCATCCTATCAAGTCACTTCATGAAGAGAAAAGTGGCAATGGACACCTTTAACAAGGTGAGGATCAGTTGGTTTCTGTGCCTCATCCTCTTAGTCTTTCTAGGACCTGATAACTAAACTGCACTAAACCTCTTCTCGTTTTCAATATTTTTGCCGCTGCTAGAAAATATAGAGGACCCGTCTAGTAAGGACCTTTCTCCATTTGGTCTACAAAAACTTAGCTAGAAAGTTAGTTGAATCCGTAAAAAGCTGATTCCCTTTTAATTCATTGTTTTCATCTACACTGAATTTGAAAAACCTTATAGCAATTGAAAAATAAACAACAGGTTTCTATACAAAAACAGAATGATGTGTTTTCAAGTCGATTAGCCTTTTGTTTAGAGCAATCGCTGGCGGAAGCGTGGAATCAGTGTTATTCCTCTAAAGTATGGAGTGCGGTGGGATGGTAGGAGGCATACTGCTTTGGTGTCAATATATCATACAGATGGCACCGTCGCTATTGCGCATGGAGGAATTGATATTGGGCAAGGAGTAAACACCAAGGTATTATTAATAAAACGTTAAAAGAAACCTGGGCGCTCAATGTCTTTCCTATTTATCGTTGACGCAAACGAGGGCTGCGACTGCTTTTGTGGCTGAATCAGTGTTTCCATATGACTGTTAAAATCGCAGTCACCGAACATTCTTCTAACGATCGCAGCGATCATATGAGAAAACCACCCATTCTATACGATCAAGGCAGGCTTCCTACCCAGGTGTGACTCAGGCTTTCTTTAGCTGCAAAGGAGACTATACTAAAACAGACAACCAAATGAGATATATAGATATTGGCATTTTGCTGAGGACGTTGAAATCAAACGCTGCCTTCAACACAGTATGACAGTGGTTAATTTGCGTTTATGTAGATAATTCTTTGCGTACAGCCCTAAGCGATACCTCAATGGGTAAAAACATTGGCTTTCAGTCTTGAACATTCTAATTGAGACCAAAAACTACAAACAAAATCACATCCCTAAGCGAGTAGAGAGGAAACCCCTTCTTTTTCATATGAGGGTCCCCTGGGCTTAATGCTTTATCCACATTAGCTGTGGTCACACTACAGACTTTTTACCTAGGTAAACACGACTTGTTGACAGTTTACCTAGGGAAACTTGATTTTTTAAGTGTGACCGATTTTTCCCCAGATAACTTACCTCGGAAAAATTTTATCGTCTGGGTCTTGGATATGTCTCGAAAACAATAGAGTTTCCCTTGACAGCTACCCCAAAGCAATAGCTAGGGAAAAATGAAATACCGAGGTTGCTAGCCAATAGAAGCTCATCGGCGAAGGTCTTGATGACAGAACTGGACATAGATCACGCTGTGAAAGAAATTTTGGGAGCACGAGTCGTCTACGTCTTCGCCTTTCTTCACCTTGCACGTTGAATTAGCGTAAGAAATAACAGCGAGATAAAAGAAAAAAACGTCTCTTTGATCAGCTAGATCCCTACGCATTTTGCCTTCTTGAATTTACGTTCCAAAAAATTCAACTGACGTGACAATTTTGGGAGCCGATATCAGTAGTGTGACCTTCCCAGAATTTTTACCTAGGTAAAACAAAACCCGAGATGAATTTACCTAGGTAGATTTTTGATGAATTTGCCCTAGGTAAATCGTTTTTACCTAGGTAAAAGTCTGTAGTGTGACCACAGCTATTATCTGATAGAGGTATAATAGTGCGCATTAGATACAAATACATGCATATATCATACTGTAAGGTTCTTCAGGACAAATTAAAGAGAGTCCACTACCTTGCTGTTAAGGCGAAATGCAAGGGCTTACTTGAGTAAATTGAAGTAATTCTTAATGGATTAAACTGATAAATAATGACTTTCTCCAAATTGGACCTGCTTTAAACTTTCATATTAGAATTTTCGAACTAAACTAACTTGGCACTTACAATTAAGACCTGTCCAGAATTACCCGTTATTGCTATCTAATTGATAAAAAATTTTCATTCGCCTTCTTTAATACACCAAACTATTTCCCCGGCCCATGTATATCTTCTTTTGTGGCATCCTGACTGTCATTATTTCAGTAATACATTGGAATTGGCCCATTATTACATAAATGAACTAAAGAAAAGGTATATCTTTTAGGTTGCTCAGGTTCCAGCGCACCAGCTGAAGTGCCCACTGGAAATGATTGTCATCAAACCAACCACAGCATTTACCAATCCAAACAGTACGTGACAAACCTGTAATGTTACCTTTGACTGATATCTTTCGACTTCACTCGGAACATTTGCCCCAGCCAGATAGGATTAATATCCCCTATTAAAACTGTACAACAAAACCGAACATTATTTTGTACAACAATAAAAAGGAAATAGCTGCTGAAGAATTGCTGTTGTTTCACAGCATTTGATCCTGTCCAAACTATTGGGTTTTTGCACCACACACATACCTCACCACTGCCCCGCTTCCAAACGATGTTCACTGCATGATGGCGACTTATCATGTAACATCCATATCATATCTGGTAAATGGTCACGTCCAATTTAATTTTTTGCAGATGCAAGCACGGCTGCAAGCTCAACAAGTGAGATGTGTTGTAAGGTTTGTACAGCTACCAGTCATTCATAAAACCTGCCTTAAAAAATAAAAAAGCCAAAAGCTCTTTCACATTGCGACAGCTCGAACCGGCCGCGAACACATGGAAGAAGATTATCCAATCACTACGTTTTAAGAAAACAGAAGATTCTGAGTTTTTTTGCCAGTGGACCAAAAGCATTCATAAATTTGAGGGCTTTTTCCTGAGAGGTCAGGTATGTTCAAACGATTTTAAAGGTTTCACAGTTGCATAGTCTAACCTTGTCTTTTATTAGTCCGTTTGCAAAAGAACTTGAAAAGCTTTTGTTTCTGAAACGTTGTGATTGGATAATCTAAATGCTAATACTAATTATAAAATGAATGCATAATAAAAACTATACCATAAACACTGGAGAACTCAATTTCAATCAAATATTATTAATTCGGACAGGGGCATAGCCATCACGTGGGCCGGTAGGCCCAGGCCTACAAATGTTTGGTTTTATCACTCTACCGTTTGCCAGTACTAAGTTATGAGTTGTTGAGGAGAGCTAAAACGGTTAAGAGCTCAAGAGAGCTCAAGAGCCTTAGGAAAGTTAGCCAGGCCTAAAACTAGTCGAAAAGCTGGCTACGCCCCTCATGACTTCAATAAACTAACGAAAACCTTCCCAAACCGAACTCCTGGAGCTGGGACTGGCAGTTGTCAAGTCAAGTGGAAAGTCGTCCGTCATTCAAAGAATTGACTGTAAAAGTTTTAGTATCGGTGCTATTCACCATTTTTTCCCAAACAAATGTACCCTCTAGCCCTTCATCCCCTAACGCCACGAAAAATCTTTGCCTATGCCTGTTACCGTATAAATAACTAACTTATTGTATGGCACCGTCCAGCAGTCATAAAATATTTTTTTTAGGCGGTAATGGAATGCTGCGACGTCTTAAATAAAGTGGTTGATCCAATCAGAAAAACCATGCCATCCGGCGCGTCCTGGCCTGAACTGATTGAAAGGTGCTATGATAATGGAGTGCATTTATCAGCCACGAGTATGTAAGTTTTATACCACACCATATTTGCCTTCACTGAGGTTAAACATTGCAGTATTTATCTTTCTTGAGAAACGCTCATTCCTGGGGTTTGAACTGAATGTTGCATAGTTTATGTTTCGTGTTGTTCTTAGTACTGTTGTTGTTCATGGTGTTGATGAAAATTGAATTGATCATGAAAAAATGATCGTTTTACAAGGAAATGAAAGCAGGAAACGTAAGATCACCCTTCACATTTAATCCACCCATTGCAGTCCAGTATGTCCGACCAACAAATGACCCACTTTTACTTGCCCTAGCCCCCTTGAGCGCGTTTAGCTAATCAAGAGGCAGGAAGTCTGGACTTTAACTTCAAAAGGTCATACGTGCTAGACTCCTATTGGGAGAAACTGAGATATTTGTTCCCAATACTTCTGTGTTACTGACTGAGAAAAACATTTTTCTTGAATCCTATGATAATCGTCAGGTTAACAAAGTACCCAAGACCAATAAAACCAAAAGGGGAGTTTCCTTTTTATGCCCTTTCTTTTTTAGGTACCAAAATCCAACACTTCCAAGTGACACATATTCATACAACACTTATGGCGTGACTTGCACTGAGGTTGAGGTTGACGTACTGACAGGAGAAAGAGAAATCTTGTGCACTGATATACTGAATGACTGTGGAGAAAGGTAACATCCAAGAAAGACTTTCAGTTGCACGTGACCATATTGTGGTGGTCAGATGCCGTTGAATCACAAGGGTGTTCTTCACGAGTCGAAATTTTTCCAGCTTGAAAATCAACATTCAAACATTATGTTAAAGTCAAAACTGGTCAATTAATTAGTGTTGGGGCTTAGAAATAAATGTTTGCTAAAGGGTCGTTAGTCTTGTAGAGCGTTTTCAGTCAAGAAAAAGCCTCCCACAGGACACCAACATTGCCGCCATTGTTTTGGGACACTAACAGGAAGGAAGTGACGTCATGTGAAAACGCTCTGTTGATGCAAATACTTGAAACCTCTATGAAAAGTAGTTGGTGTTCAACACGGCCTCTTTAAACTAAAATGATGTAATGCTGTAATGATATCCACAGCAAGAACCCTGTTCTGGACATTGGTCAGGTGGAGGGTGCCTTCATGATGGGAGTTGGTCAGTGGCTGACAGAGAAATTCATCTACGATCCTCAGACAGGGAGAAACTTGAGTAATGGAACTTGCGTAAGTGTTTGCAATAGATGAAGCTCTGACTCGCTTGTTAAGCCTCTGGTGATTCTTGAAGATGGCAAAGGCGCCAAATGTCTTTAACACTATCGCAGTTGATTTTTGTTAGTTGTGCCAAGATCAAAGAGTTCAGTGGTGGCGCAAGAGCTCAGTGCAACACAAGCAAATATCAGGGGTACGCTATTACATTAGGGTAATCAATCTAGGTGGGTTATGAAATTATATCTTTCAACCAATTTGCACAGTGTTTCTCCAGTTATTTGGACAACCGACCCCAATCAACAGTGTTAATAGTCGATGAAGTTGATGGATAGATTGGCCGGAATAGATTGACAGTGGAAATGCAAAGCACGAGGTTAAGGAATGGCAATCCAGTCTGAAATTCATGGTTTGCGAAACACGTTGAACGGTTTTTTTCGCTCGCTTCATTTGAATCTCAAGTTATCCGCGCCCCCTCGCTTTCGTCTTCCTATTGTTATAGCTTAGCAGTTCAATCATCAGAGTATTATCCAAGAGTGCCGGTATGATTTTCACACACGAGTTAGAAAATCATAAACTTCATGAAGCCAAAATATTAACCAAATGTCTTTTACTTGTAACTTAATGCAGGTATCTGCTAACCTTTGTGTTCCAAACTGCATGCTAACCCATGTAAGGAAATCCAGGACAGTCTTGGATTCCACGCTGTTCAGGATTCTTGATTTTCAGTTTTTGTTAGTGGAACTTGGATTCCTTGAGCTGTATTCCGGACTGCAAGGCCCAGGATTCCGGATTCCACTTGAATATTCTCCTGGATTTGGGATTCCAGAATCCAGATTCCCTTACAGGGAAGAAAAATGGACTTTGGACTGATTTTCTTTACTATAATAGGACTACAAGCCTCCATGTTCAAAGGACACTCCAATTGACTTCAGAGTATCACTACTGAAGAATGCTCCAAATCCACTTGGCATCATCAGATCCAAGAGTAAGCAAATCAACTTATTAACTGCATGCAAGGAATGACCCTTGTCATAATTATAAAAAAAATTCCATTTTTATTTTGTAAAATTTCCAGAATCCTAAAGGTCAAATGCTGCAATATGATCAAGTAATTTTTTTAAAAAGATTAAAGTGTTTTAAAATGTATTTGTATAGGTAATAGCATAATTTGAGTGATATTTGGCATAAATACTACGAGTGATATTTCAAAATTATTATACGAAATTTTACGAGCCCAACCTCGTCCCCAGGGCTTTTCCCTTAAAAAATGGGTGGGGCGGGAAAAGGGGGCCTTTTCCCGCCCCACCCATTTTTTAAAGGAAAAGCCCTTTTCGTTAATCGAGGTTGTTCACGAGCCGTTAGGCTAGTGAAGTTTGACACAATTTTGAAATATCACGAGTGGTATTTTGCCAAATATCACGAACAAACGGTGCTCTTATTTGTTTATACCACTACCCGCAAAAGGTTTATAATTTTCACATGTAGGTAATTCAAATTAAGCTGAAATACCACTGCTCTAAGCCAATCAAATTGCAGAATTTTCTCATGTAGTAGTATAATATGTCTTATGTTTCATCAGCTTCAGGGGAACGTGCACAATGCATGGCCCGCTCGTGTTTGTTTGCTGTAAAACACGCTGTGGAAGAAGCACGAGGCGAAGTCGGCAAAGGAGAAGAATATTTTTTTTCATGAGTGAGTAACGTTATCATAAACTTTTTACTATGACTGAAAAATATTTCTCCGTCTCCTTTGGTCGATTTGAGTCATTTTTTATTGCGTATCATGTCGAGCTCTCATTGCTTGGTCAACAGACCCTGGTCCGGCGGATACTCATTTTATCTTTTTTTATTTCCCTTTTTATATCAAGGATAAGATTTCAACCACCACGTTTTCACCAGCACTTTTTTTCTGGTTATTTTAGATGGGCCCAGCACGGTAGAGGATACGCAGTTGGCATGTCTTGTGGATCCCAGCCACTTCACCCTGTGAGCAAAAAGACTCGTAGGGTAGGCCGGGGGAGCGTATGGCGGAGAACGCTCAAGGTCTCCAAGGAGTTACGGCGGAACTTGAATGTATTAGAGTCGAGGGAATGAGCTCTTGTCAGTGGTCGCTGAATGTTCGAGTCTAAAAGAAACCCAGAATTTGAAGGATCATAAAATACATTTTCCTGTTAGCAGTGGAACCTTTTCCCTGGTATTCGGCTGTGGGAAACTGACTCTTTTCCTCCCACGTCGCCTCTGTGGGGAAAAACAAAACACTTAAACGCCTTTCTGGATTAATTGAAGATAGCAGTTTCAAAAGATCGGTAGCCTACGAGAACGCTCTTTGGAGAGCTCAAGGGGCGACGGAAAATGTTTTTTCAGTCGATCAAGAGATGTTTGGACGCACAGTGACTGACCAGATCAGAGATGCTATGATAACAACAATAACGGCGAAACATCTGATTACCTGCATATCTATGTTTGTTCAGTATACATACTTATATCCTTATACGTCTTTTTTACGTCTACTTACTAGTGTTTAAATTTCCCGTGGGGGAAAATCTCTATTTCTTATAGGCTCGTTGGCTTCTCGGAGATTTCCCCGCCACAGTCACTTTTCCAACTGTTTACTGACTTCAATTTAATGTTATTTATCTATTTATAATGTTTTTACTTCTACTTGCTGTAATTTATTTTGTGTGGCAAAATAAAAACGCCGAACACTTTAACATCAAAGTCAATCCTCCAATAACCGAAAGCGTTGAACGAATGGCGATCACGGCAAACGGCATATTGAAGTTGAAAATTTCTCAAAATAGAAAATGAGCAGATAAAAACTACCCAAAACAGTTGTTGTACCCGGTGGAGCTACTAACTTTGGGGTAGACGTAATGAACAGTAAAGGCGTACAATTCACGTCTGCCGTTTGCAGTAAAAAAAAGGCAAAGGCGCATAAGAGCCAAGGCCCGAACGCCGGAGCTTATCCCGGTTTCCTTCATATGAAGCATGCCTAGGAGTATTGCTGCTCCTCCCTGGAGGGG